TTTTTTTAAGATTTTATTTATTTATCAGAGAGAGAGAGGGAGAGAGAGCGAGCACAGGCAGACAGAATGGCAGGCAGAGGCAGAGGGAGAAGCAGGCTCCCTGCCGAGCAAGGAGCCCGATGTGGGACTCGATCCCAGGATGCTGGGATCATGACCTGAGCCGAAGGCAGCTGCTTAACCAACTGAGCCACCCAGGCGTCCCTCAAACCACATTTAAAAAGCAGAATGACAGTGTCTTAATTTGCTGATGCTGTTCAAATAAACACACATCACTAGTGAAGAAAAACGGAAGCAGAAAGAAGCTAGCTGCCATTGACAGAGTTCCTAAGAGTCTAGAACTGAATCAACTTAATAAGTGTTTATAGAAATCCTCCTACAGGTGACTACAAAGTAAGACAAGCCCCTGGTTTTTAGAGAAGTGGAAAAAAAATTAGTACAAAACCTCTCAAGGCAGATCGTGTAAGTACAAATGAGTAAAAGTGCCATAAGGACTTAGAATAAAGAAAGTTAATATCTGATTGCGGGGGGCAGGATGGGGGGGTAGTCCAGACAGCCTTCAGAGGAATGCCTGTGTCTCCCTGTCATTCTGTCATTTTTAAAAAGATTATTTTAACTTGAAAAAATACGGAGAAATACACAAAAACAATAATGACACCAAATGTCACCGCTTTCGTTCTCCTGGCTCAGTACGTCTACCTACCCTTGAGAAAAACACCATCTTAACAACTTGGTACCTGGTTTGTAAAAATTTTAAAGAAAAAAACTTTGAAGTACATACACATAAGTCATTTTAAATTTTTTAATAAAATAATTTATTTTATATATAAAATAATAGTTTATCTGTAAATATGTATAAAATAAATTATATATGTAAAATATAAATATATATAAAATAAAATACTTATTTTAATAAGTAGTATTTAATAAAATAGTATTTTAATAAAATAGTTTAAAATAGTACATGCACGTAAGTCATTTAAAATGGGACTATATTATTGTACAACATGATGTGTTCATTTAATTTGCTAACTTGATATCCTTTTTGGCTGGTATATAGAAGGGAAAAAGTTGACAGAGGCATGACTTCTTCGAGATGCCCATGACAATGATGACCTTACTGGATATTCTTGCAAACCCTCTAATAAAATTTTCTAGCAAAGAGATAAATGAGAAAGTTCTATCAACTACAGTAGCCACTAGACACGTTTGGCTATTTAAATTTAAATTAATTAAAATTAAAAGTTTAATTCCTCAATCACAATAGCCACATTTCAAATGCTCAATCAATGGCCACATGTATCTAGTGACCACTGTACTGGACATCACGAATAAAGAACATTGCCATCTTTGCAGAGAGTTCTATCAGACAACATAGTCAATCAACCTTTTCATTTCAGCTGGCTAGAGAATGGAAATTAGTCACAAAGACTACATGGGTGACTAATGGAGAAGGAAAATGAAGGCCACACAAATCTGGAAGTCTCCCTCTGTACTAAGGTGATCCATACATAGTTGGCAGTTATCACCCTGAACCCAGAATGCCTCTGGGCATTTGAAAAGGGACACCTGAGAGCTGATGGGCTCATGGCCTCCTGGGCTTACTGACTGTATCCTTCAGTCATAATTAGTAAAGTTTGGCTAATTTTACTAACGTATGTATGTTTCATATGTTGTAAGTCATTATCCTGTTCTACCTCTCAGGTTAAGATCTATGATTTCAGCAGAGTATTCAATGTAATGCAATTAAGTAGTGTAAAGGCACTATAATTTATTTAAACATAAATCTCCTGATAAGACATTTAGGCTGCTTCAAATGTTTTACCTTCACAAATACCATGGCAACGAATGCTCATGTATGTCAATCTTTCCTATACTCACACAATTATTCTGTAGGATAGAACACTGAAAGTAGTTTTGCTGAGTCATAAGGTTATGAACATTTGTAATTTTAATAGATACTGCATATCACTGTTCCAGTTGTACCAATGTATTATTCTCCCTCTAATAGTATAGCAAGGGCTCTTTTATGCATACTATTTCTATCACTGATATCTGTCTTATTAATTTTTGCCAATATGATGGTTTTTACTTGCTTTTCCTTCATCATTAGTGAGGCCAAGTATCTATTTATATGTTAATTGGCTATTTGAAGATCCATAAATTGTCTTTTCATGGCCTTTTTATGTACTTTGCCATTTTATTTATTAATATTTATAGGGTAGTTTGTCTTTTGCTGGTTGATTTGTAGGAGGTTTTGTTTTATTGGTGTTACTTTGGGTTTTATGTGCTGCAAGTATCTATCTTCCTCAATACCCCTCACCCCATTCTCCTCACAGCTTCTGCTTTTTAATTTGTTTCAAAGCTTTCATGTAATCAAAGCTATCAATATTTTCTTTAAGTTTTCTGGGTTTGAGGTCTTTCTTAAGAAGTGGTTCCCCCGTTGTAAGGTTACAAACATATCCTTTTCTTTTAAGCTTTTAATAGTTTCTCTTTTTACAAATAAAGCTATAATCTATCTAGAATGTATTTTTGCATATGGTGAGAGATTAGGCTCCAACCTAATTTTCTTACAAATAGGTAGCCAATTGCTTTAGTATCATTTGGGGGGGCAATTATCCTTTCTCTACTGCTTTTAAATAATAAATTCTTTAATCTGCTTTTGGACTTTTTCATTTTAATTAGCAACTTAACCTACAGTCTTCCATCTTCTAGATTACAAAAGGTATATGGACTTGAGGAAATTTAGGGTTCCAATTCTAGTAAGAAGTCCTTATTTTAATCAGTCAAGGCCACAGTCAGTGACTTGGCAAATGTGTATTCAGGGCTTATAATGTGTTTTCAGTCTACCTCTGTACCAGCTTTGCTATAGCTTCCTCAACAGCAGCCCAGTATTTGGCATGTGTCAGAACACCAAGTAATTATTTGTTCAATGTGTTAATGCTAAATTGTGAATTCAGTTCACTCAAATGAAAGTATATAATTTAAAAGTCATCACTTGATCAGTGTCAACTTTCAGCTTATTAGCAATAAATCTTGGAAGAGGAAATGATAGCTTGCATTCCCGAAGGAATACAACTTCATGAAAGCTACTAATATACCTTCCCCCAAATAATATTGCAGGGCACTTGATGGGCTAGGCAGGCTTGCTGGCCACTCCCCTCTCCTACTGTCCAAGATAACTATCACATACATTTTACCATCTCCTTCAATCTCTAAAACCCCTCCCCAGCAGAAGAAAACCTTTACATCTTCCCTCCATGATGCCAGACTCTGCCTTCTCCTACTAGAACAAATGCTCCTGGTTAGGACAAACCATCCCAGCTTACTTACACAAGGATTTTCTATCACCTCTATTTTTCTGTGCCATTCCTGTCTTCTACATCATTTTCATCAGCACACAAACAACTGCAAATATCTTCATCTTTAAAAACAAAACAAAACAAAACAAAACCTTGTCATTAACCCACATCACTCTCCAGCTACCATATTTTCCCTATCCTCTCTACAGCAAAACTCCTTGAAAAAGGGCCTGTGCTGTGTTTTTTTCCTCTGTGCCTTTCATCCCTTGAAACTAACTCCACTCAAGTGTACTCCCTACCATTCCCCTAATTGTTATGATGAGGTAACTGCTAACTTCCTATTGCCAAAAACAGCAGTCAGGTCTTCCTGCTCACCATACAGCCCCGATCAGCCACATCCGACTCAGCTGATCACTCTGTCCTTAAAATGGTTTCCTAGCTTGGCTTCAGGGACACCCGGTTCTCATGGGTTCTCAAGAAGGCTGCTCCTTCTTGGTCACCCAGTTCTCAAGAAGGCTGCTCCTTCTTGGTCCCCTTAAGTTAACTCCATTCCCCCGACACACACACACACACACACACACACACACACACACACACACCTGTCTGATTTCTACAGGTAGATGTGGTGAAGGGCTCAGCTCCTAAAACTCTTCTCTTTCCTGACCACACTCACTCTGGAGGTAATCTCATCTAGTCCTACCAGTTTAAATATCCTGGTTGACCCCTAAATTTTGTATCTCCATACACATCCTTAGCTCTGAACTCAAAAACTCATATATACACTACACAGTCAATACCTTCAACTGGATGCCAAATCAATATATAAGCCTTAGTACATCCAAAACTAAAATCAAAGTGAAATGAAACAACGGTAATAATAGCAGGAAACCCCTGCTCTTCACCAGCATCCGCCCATTCAGTTACTCCCCCCAGCTAATCAACCATTAGCTCTTGCCTCCATCACTCTAAAAACCTTCTAGTTGGTCTCTGCTTCTATGCTGCCACATTCCCTCTCCCCCACTTCTATTCTCTAAGCTCTCACGATCCTTATAAACTATAAACCAGACTATGTAACTCTTCTGCTCAAAATTTTCCAGTGACCTCCCATCACTTGGAATAAAAGCCACGGTGTTCATATAGCCTCTGAAGCTGTGATCTGACCCCGGCCCACGCATCCCACTTCAGTGTTCACTACCACTTCACTCTTCACCACCACAGGCCAACTATCCTATCAAAAGGGAATGAAATGATGCCTTCTGTGCCTTGTGCACACATCAAGCTGACTTGTGACTCAGGGCCTTGGTAACTGCTCTTCCCTCCTCCTGATACCTCGTACTTGCAGGTATCTGCACAGCACTAGTCCATTTAGGTCTCTGCTCTAAGGTTACCTTCTAGGTGTTTTTCACCGTCACTTATTTTTCTTCGTGGAACTTAAAACTACCCTACATTCTATTACACATTGTTATTATCAAACACCTTAACTAAAATATAAGATCTATGAGATGATGGGGCTTTTCTTAAATTCATTTTTTTTAATCCTTAGAACCTAGAACAGTACCTGAAACACAGTAGTTGTGTAATAAATATTTGGTGAAGAAATGAGTAAATAAATGAACATGAACATAGTTTGATTATGAATATGATTTAATGATCTTAATACATAACCCCAAAAGGCAAATCTATTTTTTTGGCATTACTCACTTTCCGTTGTTTTACAGAGTCCAATTTTATAAGCCAATATGAAGCCACTTTTGTTTTATGATATTTCCAGTTATCAATGATCTGTTTTGGGGGAGAAACATTAAGAAATTTAGTTTAAAATTTTCCTCAAAAGTAACGAAGAGTAAATGAATGAGTTGAAATGAATTTTACTAATTAATTTGTGAAACAGAAGTACCGTAATATTACTTGCAATAAAGAATGTCTACTTTCATAAAGACATGTGCAAAGATTTCTAAGTTAAACCATCAGAATCCAAAGTTTCCTCTTCTTGCTACAAAAAGTACACAGTCTCTAATAAATGGAAGTCAAATGTCTTCAGGTACATAGGACTGGGAAGAAGCCCAAAACACAGATATTCCATTTTAATTCCAAGAGCTGTATTTACCACATCACCCTATACAATAACAGAATATTGAACAATACATTAGAAGGTAGCTTATATATAATTAAGGTTCTATTATTCCTTTGTTTCGTTTTTATTGGGTTTTTACTGGTAAAAATCTGCAAAAATTCTGAATATATACTCCAGCAATATATATTCAGCAGCAAACAAATTAAAATATTTTCTGCATATAGTAAATGTATAGTAAACAATCTAATATCTTATATAATTATCCACTATATTTTATTAATTATGTAAGCCGATATTCTTTATAAAACAATCACATCAGTCACAAATATTAGTTCTACTCTCTGATTATCTAATTTTTCTTCTACCTGATTTAAAAGGTTGGTGTATAACTAATATCTCTAAGAAATATGAGTAAAATGGTACAAAATTTTTGTCTTTACCTAGAAGAGAACTTGATTGAGTAAGGTAATATGCAAATAAAAACACACCTACAAAATGCTTTATAACTAGTGTTTGTTTTTCCTCCTTTTTCCTTGATGTAACAAATATCAGCTTGTTTGTAAGTAAGATACCATTTTCAGTTTTTTAAATATTCATATAACAAAATAATGTATAATATTTGGGGATTTTGCTTATAATTATGTCATGATTACAAAATAGAAATTGCCACTATTAATTTTTTAAATTAAGGAAGTTAAATTTTTATTATTATTTGTTGGGGAGGGGTTGTTTGTTTTGTTTCAGAAAGACAGTTGTTTCAGATAGGCCTAAAGTAATGATAAAATGTGAAGTGCATCATTCTGGGTCTTATCTTCCAACTGGCCACTAGATGGTGCCTTCTCCTCTGGAACAAAAACAGCGACAACAAAAACAAACCAAAAAAAACCTCCCAAAAAAAACAAAAACAAAAACACCCCAAAAACTACAAACCAAAAACCAAAAACCAAAATCCCAACCAAAACTAAACAAAACAGGGAAACCAGAAAACAATCTTCTGTTACTGAGGGATTACCTAGGAATGTCAATTTGAGACAGACGTTTCTAAAGGAAACCAATCTTTGAAGGAATGCTCTTTCACCTGAAATATCTGAATAACTTGACCTTCTTTCTAAAATAGGAATAAGTCATTGACTTTAATGTGAATTTTTAGGACTGTGTCATTTTAGAATGTTCCACTGGGTGGTGCAAATGTGTTTATAACAAGAAAAACACACCCAATATTAGCCATTTCACAATTTGACAAAAACCAATCACGGTGTCACATTCAAATATTCTTGACATTTTATACCCAGGGCTCTATTTTTTTCATTACAACTCATTCCATGTTAGATCCTTCTAAATCTTTACAGAAGGAGGCTTAACTTTGATATTTCTTTCATCATCAAGTGCAATAATTATTTAACAGTAATTATTCTTGCTTGATGAAGCAATTGCATCATTAAAATAGGACTAGACACTAAAAGATATTTTGCATTACTGATTATGTGATCTCACTGCTCATGGATCATAATAATTAAAATAACCCCTGTATTTTCTAAAGCTTGTTGAGGTTGAAAAGAACATCAATTAAGCTTACCATGTCATTGAGAATAACACCATCAGGAAATAAATTTTAATATTTTAAGAATAACAAAAAAAGTGAGCTCCTTGAAATTTTGTATATGTCAAATACTCACATCTTCTATCAGAAGTAATGATTCTGCATCTGATTTTCCTGGAAACCGGATCTTCATGTCCTTGAGGACAAATAAGGTCTGACTTGTTAGATCGTCTTCTTGTTCCTTTGTTCTCAGTTGCCGCAAAGACTCACTCTTAAATTTGAAAGAATACAGATATTTGGAGGGGGTCTTATTTCATTGTGCCACTATAATCTGAAAGATATTTCTAGGTAAAAATGATGCACTTTTAATTAAAAAAAATAACAGTGAAAAAGAAAATAATTTCTTTTACATTTATTCTTAGGATTAAATGGATATGATTTCCCAAGAGTGTCTTTGGCACTTCCACACAGTTATAGTTTATGTAGCTCAAAACAAAATAAAAATATAAGTGTTTTAAAAAGATTTCCTGGTCAGTTCTTTTGTTACATACACCATAGGCAATTCTTGATTAGAGAAAATAATTATTGATTATTACCAAGTGAAATTCATTCATTTATATTTTCTAAACTCTTCTCTTTGGGAACAGATCCACATTAAATAAACAAATTAAATAAGTTCCTGGCCTATGTGTAGGTACAAGGAGACATCTATTTGAGCATCCACAAGTAAGCCTGGTTGCAAAATAAATTCACTGACTTCTTCAACACGAATCTCTGGGATTCATGCTAAGGAGAGAATGCTATATGTTACTTTAAATATCAAGAAAACATTATCAACAATGTTAATATTTCAGTGCTCTAAGGATAATTTATCAATGGTTTGGTTTTTAACCTATTAATCAGAAGTCCATTAAGGAAAATTTACCATCCAACAAATTCCCCCAAATTTACAGCTGTACTGCACAGTACACTGCAAAATGATATACTTGCACAGGTGAAATTCAACAAAATTATCCGACACCATTAGCAAATAGAAAATAAAATAACATTCTCAGTGTCCATCCCCAATTCTATGAAATAGGGGAGTCTGCTTTTTAAGTTATAGGTTAAGAGGGATGAACAACCCAAATTCCACTAGACTATGAGCTGAATTATAGCAAGGATCTGGAGTTCAATCTGTCTTCCTCCCAGCTGGTCCCTTTGCCACCTAAATCCTGAGTGTAGTGCTTCCTGTGATCTCAGAGGACCAAATGGATGACTTACCATCTGAGAGTTAGGAAAGCTGGCATCATTAGTGTGAGGCACGTGCCTCATGTAGGAGGAGGCACGGTTTAAAGAATGTGACCGAGACCCTGAAGTTGGCCGGGACGCTGGTGTCATTTGTTGAGCAGAAAAGGGGCGGCTGTCTGCGCTGGAAGGTGATTGAGAAGAGATGGACCGAGGGCAACTGACTGAACGCCTAATGGAGCCTAGGATAATGGAGCAGAGGGGTAGTACAGCAGCAGAGTTAGTGAAGTTTCCCACTGTATTGGAGTTAAACTAACAATTAGACCACATGGTGGCAAAACAGCAATAAATTTAAAAGCATAGTCATCATCATGAGAATATAAGCTTAAGTTAATGGACATACACCTTATATTTAGGGATGTATTACAATTTAAACAGTAAACTTGGTGCAGAACCCCTATGACGTATTAAGAATGGCTACGATAAGAATGATTTTTTAACCAGTTCTGTTCTTGAAACATGACTTAAAAGAACCAGAAGAAAGGAAAACTAACATTCATGGAGCACCTTCTATAAGCCAGACACCTTGCTAGGTGCTACACTTTAATCTTAATCTTCACAGAAACCCTCTGAAGTAGGAATCTGCATCACCTGAAGACTCAGAACTTTCTCAAGTCACATGACAAGAAAGTGACCAGACTCAGGTTTAAGTCCTGACCTATATAACGTCAGCGTCCTTCCTCTTTCTAAAGCATGATGCCACCTACTATCTTTGCATTAGACTGGTCATTTATTAGAATTTGTGTACAGATTCTATAAAATAGAATACTTTATAGCAAGACTCATAGAGGGGGATGGAAAGGAGTCTAGAGAGTGGCCAGAATAAATGGATGTTACAGAATTTAGGGCACAAAATTAAAAAAAAACCCGTAAAACAGAAGAAAAACATAAAGATCATCCTAATGGAGTTTAAATATATAATTGGTTATTACAAGAGTAGTAGTAGACAAGTAGTCTTATTATTCACAGGAGAGAAGAATGAAAAAAAAAAAAACTAGATTTAAATTCCCACAGTAGAAGATTTAAGTCAAGGAAAAAAATGTCTGGATCTAGAGGGTTGTTATCAGAACAAGCTAGGGAAAACCAAAGACTATCTTTCCCAATGAATACCATTTAAAAAAGAGAACCAAGTGTTCCAGGTAAATTTTGACTCCTGACACAGGGAAATAGAATATCCCTCAATATCATCAAAAGTTATATACTTTTTAGTTCATATTTTGTAAATTTCTTCTGTTCTATATTCTCTCTCTGCTCAGGGAATACATCAATCTTCAGTAATTAAATAATTTAATAAAACTCACATGAGGCAAGTTGAATACCCAAACATTTCTCTTCATTAGCTGTTGAAAAAAAATTAAACCTTTGTAAAGGCAATGGACATACACCTTATATTTAGGGATGTATTTCCATAGGATATTTTGAGTCAATGATAATCCTAAAACCGTTTTGGTTCTGGTGAATATAAAAAATACACTCATTAAAGCTATAGAAGATGTTTAAAAAAAAAAAAAAAACTTCCATTTGTTCCAATTATTATCTTTCTTCTGAACCTAAAAGTCACATCCAATTTTTTTAAAAGGACCATGCTCCTAGAAAAGGGCTGTGTGAGGAACATATCACTGGTCAATCTTCTACTAGGAAAATACACAAAAGCATGTACTACTACCTACACCTTGGTTCTGCTCTCTTTGAGGGCTTAAAGTGGTAGTTTGGAATGTACAATCTGATCACAGGTGCAGAAGGAAAATATCCTTTCTCTTGAATCACCACAGATTCCCATTTTTTTCCCTGCATACGCTGGAAATTCAGACAGAATAATTAAATCACTAGATATGGCAATAATATTTAGGTAGATTAGCAAAAAATGGTTGTAACTTGCATATACAAGTTACATGAGAAAACTATTTCATATAGTTTTATGTATGAACACCTTATATCAATCCAAAATATATCTTTGAAATTACAGCAAGGGTAAATTTCCAAAGTTATCTCTACACCAGAATATGTTACACATAATCTGGATTCTGCCCTCCATCATTAGCATCACTTTGGAAAGAAAACTCAAGGAGGGTTTGTGGCTATGGTATTCTTTAGTGTAATACTAAAGAGAGAATATAAAACAAATGGAAACCTTCATGGTAATTCCTAACGACTATAAAAATAATATATAACTAAAAAGGAAAAATACATATAACTGAATTAAACTAGCTTTAAAATGTGAATTCACACTCAAAAACACTTTTAGTACACTATTTTTCTGATCTCAATTTATTTTTAGCCTGAGAAAAGAGAATAATCTCAGAGCTTTAGGAATCTTGGCCACATTTCCACAACCCCACCCTCATCCATGGTTGGCTCACAGTCTTAGGGATGCCCACCTTAAACGAGGGATTAAACAACTGGTAAGATCTGGACAGGACAATTTCCTCTTCCAAAAGAGAAAGAGAGCCTTACTTTCAGACATACACTGAAAGCACATAAGGCATCTTAAAGAAAAAAAGGAAGTAATTGATAAAATAGCTTGCAACTCTAGAACAGGTGCTCAATAGACATCTTAAATGAGTAAATAAATGAAATGGAACATAATACGTTATTTCTCCTCCAAACACATGAACTCTCAAAGACAGGAACACTACCATGTATCTCTATAAAATAATTCAGTAAAAGAAAGTAAAGGAAAAGGAAAAGGAAAAGACCATTAAAAATCTTCATGATATTTGGTAAGAGATAATTAAAAATCTTCGTCTGTTTGTACTGTATTCCTCCTGGCATTTTGCCATAAGTATGGAAGGCCAAGTTTAAAACACACTCATTTCCAGAGAACTGACACATTAAATAAGCCACTGCTGGAGATCAAAGAAGGCTCACAGTTGTGTTTACTGCCTGACTGAACTGGTCCCTTTCCTGGAACCCTGGGACAATGGAGGACGAGCAGAGACAGGAGAGATGAGAGTTAAGAAAACCCCTGCCTTGGAGGCAGAATGGGGAAGGGGGATCCAAGTGAGCCTGAGAAAACAGCAATACCACACTGGACATTTGTGGATGAAAGAATTGTGAACTCATCTGAAATCAAAGAAGGAATGAATGACCAAATGGAAGAGAGAAAGGATGTGAAAAGAAAGGAAGAAAGAGAAAAGAGGAAGGTGGAAAGGAAGCCAACAGAGCAGCTGGTTGGTTACTGTCCGGAATACTTGCTGTAGGTATCCCAAAGCCCTGACTCAAGTGCTCAGCCCTGATGAAAATGGGAGGGAACAAAACTTCAACTATTTCACAATTGCGTGGCTCACAGAGATGTTCAAGTCAAGTACCTAGAGAGATACACACATTTTTAAAAAGAGGTGAACATATAAAATAAAACTGGTGACCAAAAGGGAGGGAAAGCACAGGGGTGGGGGTGGAGAATGGAGCGAGGGAACATAAAGTCTTAAGAGAATGCAGCCCACAGATCAGCTGCCATGAGGCCCATTTCACAAAATCCATGCAACAATCCAGGACACAACAAAAACTATGAAACAGAGAAGAAAGTGCTCTCAGAGATCCTTCATTCAACCTGTTTGTTCTCCCTCTGCAGCCCCTGGAAGGGACTGTGCGGTGTGCCCAGGTCAGGATTAGGGAATGAAGTGAAGTGGAGTCCAGGTCCCCTCATACAGGACAAGGGTCCATTTGGCCCAAGCTTTTATTGAGTTCAGTAACTGCCATTCCATAATTCCTCACATAGCAACAAAACTAGAAGAAATGAACTTACTGGACTGTTGAATTAATTTGTAGTTGTTGGACTGTTTAAAGTTATACGTGACTTGCTTTTCTCTGTTCTTATTTTGGTACTCTTCTTTCTCATTGTCCTCGGATTCCGAAGCGCTGCTGCTACTGTTGTAACTGCTGTCACTGCTGTAGTATTTCTGTCTTTTCATTACCTCAGAGCTCTCAGGCATGGAGGACAGAGGCTGAACCAGAGGGAAATGTGTCCTGTTAGAATTCAGAGCACTGCTAATGAACTATGAGCATGAGCAGTTACTATTTTTAATTTCCTGCTTACGCTGGCTGCTTTTCTCCAAAGCCTGAAACCCACCCAGAGCATGACGGCAACCGCATGCCGTTAGCCTACTGCGCTCTTCACTGAGGCTTCTGTTTCTGCAAAATGTTCCCTCTTAAATGGTACAGAGCTCAGTCGTGATGAGGGAAATGCTGTGTGATGTGAAGAAATGACCAGAGTACCCACAAACAATAGCAAAATAAAATATTTGAGATGAAAATGAAAATCAGAAACATAATCAGCTTTTCTTCATTCCATACAGAGAGATTACTCACTACTCATCAAAACTCAGAGTTGTACTTTTGTTGTATCATTGATGTTCAGAACCACTCAGTAAATGCGCGTATGTGTGTTGTGTGTGTGTGTGTGTGTGTGTGTGTGTGTGTGTGTGTGTTGCTTTTGAGAGAGAGAAAAAAGGGCTGGGGGATGAAAGGCAGAAAGAGTAAGAAAAGCCAGTTAAACCACTGAAAGTAAAAGGGCACCTGGATGGCTCAGTCGGTTAAGTATCTGCCATCCGCTCAGGTCATGATCTGGAGTCCTGGGATCGAGCCCTGCGGGGCTCCCTGCTCAGCAGGGAGTCTGTTTCTCCCTCCTCTCCTCCCCCTGCTTGTTCTCCTTCTCTCTCTCTCTCATAAATAAATAAAATCTAAATAAAATCTTTTTAAAAAATCGCTGTAGATAAAATAAGATAAATTACTGTAAGTATAGTAAGGCCACATCATAAAACAGAGCCTATGAGCCTATCCACTCACATAATGTATAACACAAAGCAAGATGTTCCTTACATGTCTAATTAGCTCTGGATATTTTTACAAATCAAAATTTTTAGTTAATTGTCTACTTTCCAAATGGGTTTTGAACAGCTTGTGCCTCTTCTCACAGGATTTCTGAATCTGACATAAAGGTTAGGCCATAATGGAGCAACACTGCTTTTCATTGTCCATGCTACCCAAAAAAGTGGTATCATGTAAAAATCAGTATGGCAAGAATTTTTGGAGAAGAGATACCATGTAGAAGGGTAAAACTGTAATGCTTCAAAATTCCCTGCTATTATGTTCCAGTATTTCCATTAGAATTACTTGTCTCTAAACCTCCCAAACACTGTGTTTCCAAGGATGCCAGGCGAGGGAATAAAAAAGATAAGGGAAGTAGGACAGCTTCACTTCAGAAAGAATGTACACAACCAAGAACAAGGCATTTTTACGACTTAGTCATTTTAAGAGACTATTTATTATACAAACCATATGCCTCTTGCTCCTGCTGGGAAAGGTTCCTGTAGCTATACACTAGATTCTTGTTCTCTGTTTAACAAAAATGCTTTGATGCTAGCATACACAATAAGGAAAGCCTTGGTTACCATGGAACTTCACTGAAATAAGGTATATCTTCTCATGTGTCAGTGTAGAATGAAAGATAAAGAGAGAAATAGCATGTCATGAAGTGCCTGGAAGACACAGTAAGCCAAAGCATGATCCTCTTAAAGTTACCGCCTTTGCAAATGGTGGAAAAATAACCAAAGTAGGGCAAGTAATTTAATACACTATGGTACCAACTTGTATTTGAAAGTGTTTTTCTCTTGATAGTCCAATATTTTCCTGAGCACTAACAATGTTCAAAGAGATATGCATAAAAACACTGACTAGTACACAATCATGGAACATTTTGATAGTCTTGGGGAATACGAATTCTAGAGGAAGCTTGTTTCTTCAGAAGTCTCGCAGGCCCCCAAAGAGACAATGGCACAACCAGCCTTGCTAGTAGTGTCCTCCTTCATGTAGGCAAATGGCTTTCAGGTTTCTCAAAGAGCTTGACTACATAATGAGTTATTTGATCCTATAATGAATCACTAGGGGAAATGGATAGCTGAAACTTTGTGTCATATATGCATTTGGGACTTTTTGACCAACACACTGTACAAGCAATAATTAATAAGAAGTGATAGTAGTCTGAAGTTTGAACAGTACCTTAACTGCAAAATGGAATTTGTAAATTGGCATTGAGTTAGGATACACATCATACTACTTATTTTTATGTCCTATTGTATTATGAACTGGGCCACACATAAAAATATATAAATAGCATAAAGATTAGTAATCACTCAGCTGAAAAAAAAGAACAATGCTCACAGCTAATACTTTATGTGGTATTTATTATTTATAGAGCTAATTAATATTTCTTAGTTTCTCAAATAAATGAAAAATTATTTCTCCTAGTACAAGTTTCATTTACCTTCACTATATCTTCATTTATTCTTCTACCATAAACATACTGAAAATTAATGTTTACCATGTGATAGCATCCCTCTAAAATGAAAGGCTGCTTTGAAGTTTGGCTCACCCCAGACCCTGACCATACATAAAGTTAAAAGTTATAACGTGTTTTTACTTCAGACTGATTATGCAACTTTCAACCATTTTGAAATATTACTGGCATTAAAACCTACAGAAACTAGCCAATTCATTTCATTTCAACAAATACAGTTATCTTCTACTACTTGCCTAGAATAAGAGGGGCTGAAAAAAAATAAACAATGTGAATTCTGCCTTCCAGGAGCTTATTTTTTTTATTTGGATGCTAAGTATTATTTAATGAAGCAGACAAGAGTATGATAGATGGTCTCAGGGCCTTTGCATTTCTCATTCTGCCTCAATTCTGTGCCCGCAAGTTGTCTCACAACTGGTTTGCGGAGTTGCAATGATTAATACACAAAGCTTAGAACCTATTCACTTTTAAAGACACTCTAAAATATATTAGAGGCATTATCAATAGCATCAGTCACAATTCTTCAGTATAAAGCACATATTTCAGAAGAAGGGTGCCTGACATCCAAGGTCATTGATCTCTACCAGAAACATATTTTTCACCAAGTTCATCTTGTAGTATTTTACTCCCCAGGAATCTTCCATTTGAGTGATACCAAATTCTTTCTTGTTTCTCCAATACTCTATGCAATGTCACACCTCTATGTCTTTGCCTTAAATATTCCCTCTAAACTGAAGATCCTTCCCCTCGTCCTTAATGTTTAGAGCACTACTCGTTTTTTAAGACCTAATTCCAATGTCACTTCCTGTGCAAGGCCATCCAGTCTACCAGTCCTTTGCTTCTCTATGTAATTATAGCACTTTCCACTCCCTTTATTAAAGCACTTGCCACAATACAGCCTGGACTTTGGTTCACCTACCTGTTCTTCGACTAGCCAATGAGGTCATTGTGGATACATTCAACAAATTTAATTAATGGCTTTTGATAACCTTCTAAGTACCAAACACTGTGCTAGGTGCTAGAGATAACAACATACTTCCTACCCTCAAAGTATTTACAAGTTCATTCTAAACCAAACATGCACACAATTTTCACAACTCACTAAAAGTGTTACTTGTAGCACAAGAGAAAAAGCAGAAGAAGGAAGATCTAAGTCTAACTAGGGGAATGAGGGAAGATTTCACAATGGCAGCAATGGTTCAGCTGGATTAGAAGGGGATCTGTAATCAAGCAATGAATGGATTTTTTTTTTTTAATAGGAAGGCATTCCCGGAGCTTGGAAAAAGCATGAAAGCATGACAGAGCATGATGATGTGTATGAGGACATAGTGATAGCTTTGTATTGCTGAAATGTAAACTAAAACAACAGCAACAATAATAATGACAACTGAATAAAAAAGTTTCCAAGATTTTACAAATTCAACACTTTCCAACTCTACTAGCAAGGCCTTTAGCATATAAAAAAGGACCATGTAGATCATCACTACAAAGAGAATGAAGGTAAGACAAACACATGTCCATTTTTGCTTGCATGATAGCTTCCTATTTATTCCTAGAAACCATACCTATTTTAACTAACACAATTTCAATGTTACTGAGTCAACAATAAGTGGGGCTCCCCATGAGGATTTCCAGAGTGATAATTTGCCTTACCTATAATGCCACACATCTCTGAAAATTGTTAAGTCTAGAGATAGGAGAAAAATGTAATACTGAGTATAGAATAAGGGTACTAGTTTTAAGTCCCTCTTGGCCCTAACTCAGGGTCTTTACTAGCCTTAGGGAAAGAATTAAAAAATGAAGGAAACTTGGAGTACCTGGGTGGGCTCAGTCAACTAAGCATCTGCCTTTGGCTCAAGTCATGATCCCAGGGCTCTGGGATTGAGCCCCACATGGGGCTCTCTGCCTCTCTGCTCAGCAGGGAGCCTATTTCTCCCTCTCCCTCTGCCTGCCACTCTGCCTGCTTGTGCTCACCCTCTCTCTCTCTCTGTCAAATAAATAAATAAAATTTAAAAAAAAAAACATATAAAAATTGAAGAAAACAAACAATACTTCTCTTGAGTATATCTCCCTAACTCTAACTGCACTGGTCCATACAGTTCCTTGAAAGTGGCATCAGTCATTCTTACAGTAAGAACAATGAAGGTAAAATCAACTGTACTTAGTAGCATCTACTTTGATAGTAAAGAATGTAGAGGTACTGCACCTTTGGCCCTCGAGGCTTGGCAGTTTTGCCCATCAATTTTTCATCATCAATTTCACATTGTTCCAGAAGATCTAAAATATCTTCTTCCTTAAAAAAATATTAAAATTGTGATCACTAATGGACTCTACAATATTTCCAAGGTCATTAATGTCCATAAAATAGTGTACAACAAGGTGTCCTAGAACTATTTAAGGAAGATTGCTTAGATCAAATGAAAAATAAAGAATCATGGAAAAATCTCTTAAGGAAACCTTCATGGAAATCTGGCAATATAAACAATACATAACTGAAATCTATCATGCATTAATATCATAAACAAATATGTCTTTACATTATAGTACACTATTAAAATCTTAGAGTACAATACTTTAATAAATTAGCCTATTGATGATTCATATTGAGCATATTGAACATTAAAATTTCTAAAAGTTCACTCTAGTTTTCCAGAGCAAAATTTCATCAATCATCTCTATATTAATTAGTGCAAAATAATATTACAACTTCAGAAGAAAATTGATGATTGGCCTAAGAGTTTCACTTAGAACAATCTAATGTTAGTATTTAGTAAATGGGTACAATTTAAGGTGACTCTTTCAAAATTTTAACTATTGTGCAAGAGTATCTTTAGAACTTTGTGAAGGATTTTCATTCTATGGGTCTAATACTTGCTCTTCCAGAATCATTGTGAAGTCAAGGGGCAAAGTTATAAAAACATATACTGAAATAGATTTTGAGCAAACCAAAGTGATAGGAGTATAACAGCTATACTGAAAGAGGTTCCTTGAGTTATTTATTCAATCTATAAAAATATCACATCTCCATTTGTATATTTATGACATGTTTCAGTGTCTCCTATAAAAAGGTTTTTGAAGAAACTAGAAATCTCACTGTGCAATGGAAATTTGAAAAAAATAAGTTACTCTTCATGCCAATCCAATAAAGCTTAAGTATTAAAATACCAAAATACCTTTGCTATAATGTTTTGATTAAACAATAATTCTACAATGAATTCCCATGACAGCAACACAAGATAGTTAAAAAGAAACTCAAAGAGTTCTGCTTCTGCTTAGGAGAAAGAAGATCATAACAGATAATACTTTCATTATAGCAGCTAGAAAAAGACAGATAAACTAAACAATCATAGTTTTTAAGACATCAGAAAGCTGTGGATAAAGCATAGTGTAAAATAAACTAAATACCAGAGCGGGGAAAAGTTCTAGGCAAACAGAGATGAGTAGCCATTTTCTACTTTGGAATCATTTGTCAAGTCTGCACACAGATGGGCAGAGACCACGTCTATAAAAGGCTGGGATAAAAAGGAGAGTTTTCAATGGTCATGTGAGCTAGTGTAACATCTAGAACCGTCCCACAGAGCTTGTTCTCTTGACCTCCTGGGTCTCTCCGACAGCAATTTTAGTGAGCATGTCGTGGAATAGGAAGATAGAGGCATGTGAAAACCAGTCTTACAGTTTTTAGATACCAATAGAAAATGAGGTCCATAACAAACACTGAATAAATTTCATCCTTGAAAATGAAATCTTGCCATTTGCGACGACATGGATGGAACTAAAGGGTATTACGCTTAGCAAAATAAGTCAATCGGAGAAAGACAGCTATCATATGATCTCCCTGATATGAGGAACTCAAGAAGCAACATGGGGGGGGTTGGTGGGTAGGAAAAGAATAAATGAAACAAGATGGGATCGGGAGGGAGAAACCATAAGAGACTTTTAATCTCACAAAACAAACAGGGTTGCGGGGGGGTGGGGAGGTGGGGAGATGTAGGGAGAGGGTGGTTAGGTTATGGACATTGGGGAGGGTATGGCTATGGTGAGTGCTTTGAAGTGTGTAAACCTAGCTACTCACAGACCTGTACCCTGGGGCTAATAATACATTATATGTTAATAAAAAAGATGTAGTTCCATTCTGTTGATTTTTGCTTTTGTTCAACTTCTCTTTGGCTCAAAATGATTAGCCCCTTACCTTAGCACCCTGAAAGAAGAAGGATATACCTTTTTTTGGAAAAAATAATATCAGTTCAGTTTTTATGATTCTTTTATAGACACTGTCAAACAAATAAAAACTGTAGGATATCCAAAATAACAGGAAAATGTGACCCATGAAATAAAGGAAAAAACATTTTATTTTATTTTATTTTTTTTAGATTTTTTATTTATTTATTTGACAGAGAGAGAGATCACAAGGAGGCAGAGAGGCAGGCAGAGAGAGAGGGGGAAGCAGGCTCCCTGTGAGCAGAGAGCCTGATGCGGGACTCGATCCCAGAACCCTGAGATCATGACCTGAACCCAAGGCAGAGGCTTAACCCACTGAGCCACCCAGGCGCCCCAGGAAAAAACATTTTAAAGAGCAGGTCCTTAAGTGATCCAGATGTTAAAATTAACAAATAAGGATTTTAAAATAACTACTACATACATATTAAAGAAAATTTATGAAAAATGGACAAAATGAATGGAAGATGCGGAATTTCAACAGAGAAATGAGATTTTAAAGAAATAAATGAACATTCTTGAGTTGAAAAATATAATCAAAAATTAAGAAGTGATTGGATATGCTTGCAGCAGACTGGGCACAGCAAAGATATGAGATTTACACTGAGGTGTAAATTATCCAAACTGAAGCACACAGAAAGATAAAAGAAAAACAGAACAGAGTAAATAAGATACATGGGATGCTGTCCAATCACCTAATATATGTGTCATTAGAGTCCCATAAGAGACAAATACAAAATAACATAGCAACAATATCTGAAGAAGAAACGGAGAAGAACTTTCCAAAACCAATGGAATACGTCAACCCAGAGCCTCAAGAAATTGAGAAAACTACAAGCTGGATTAATACAAAGAAAACCACACATAAGCACATCAAAGTCAAAATGCTAGTGATGGGGGAGGGTGTGGAATCATCCAGGGGAAAGGACACATTACATTTAGGAGGAAAATAAAAATAAGAATAGAATTATGAATAGAAACAATAGGAACCAGCGGACAAATAAGTGACATCTATAACAGTGCTGAAATAAACAAACAAACAAAAGAGCCTGTCAAGACAGAATTCTATATCCAATTAAATTTCACTTAATGAAGATAAAATGAAAAACAATTTCTTACCAAAACACAAGACAGAGAGAAAACTAATCAATACCACACTTCTGCTACAAGGCATATGAAGTACTAAAGAAAGTTTCTGAAACTGAAGAAAGACAACCCTTGTTAGAAGCATGAATCTGCATGACAGGATGGAAGAACATGAGAAAGGGTCTATATGTGAGTAAACATGAAATGTTAGTTAGAAAACTATTAAAGACCACTGCTTGCTTAGACAATATTAACAATGTATTCTGAGGTTCATAACGTAAGTAAAAGTAAAATATATGTTAACAGCACAAAGTCAGAGGTATGGTACAATATAACTAAAAGCCAAAAGAGAAGATAAAATAGTATAAGAAAAAATAATTGATTTTTCCAAAAGAATACAGGGAGCAACGAAAAAAATAATGAACAGATGGAATAGAGAAGAAAGAGCAAGAGGGAAGACATAAACCCAACTATACTAGTAAATGTGTGAAATGACTAAGAGACAGATAGTGTCAGACTGAATTTTAAAGCAAATATGACCCAACTGCATGGTTTTTACCAGAGATATTTTAAATATAAGAACACAGATAAGTTGATAAATAGATAGAATGATATATCAACCAAACAGTAACCATAACAAAGAAACTAGTTATCCACATTAGTCACACAACGTAAGCTTTAAGACACGGGATATTATCAAAGGGAAAGATAAACATTTCATAATGATAAAATAGAAATGACGAATTCATTAGAAAGACACCTTCATAACTTCAAAGTATATGAAACAAAACCACAGAACCGCATCCACAGTCATAGTTGGTAGTTTTAACAATCTTTTTCAGGAATTGCTAGAACAAGTAGGTGAAAAAAAAATTTTTGGAAAGGATTAGGATATTTGAACAACACTAACAGCCAAATTTACTTTTGACATGTATAAAACTCTATAACCAACCTGCAGTAGCCTATTATTTTCACATATACTTGGAACATTCACAAGAATACGTACTCTATTGACTTGAAGCAAGTATCAATTCATTTTACAATATTGAAATCAGAATGTTTTCTAATACCAATGAAATAAACTAGAAATTTTTAACAAAAATAAAGCGAGAAAATTTCAATGTATAGAAATTAAACAAAAAACTTCTAAATAACCAAATAAAAACCAGGATGGCAATTAATATAATATATAATATAATATATAAAATTGCTAGGTACAAGGACAAGATAAAAAAAAAATCAGATGTAACAATGTGAAAAAAATTTAAAAATGAAAAATTTTTTAAATTATATTACTGGCAACAGCAGCAAAAACAACAAATACTTAAGAATAAATTTAATTAAAGATGTGCAAAAACTATACACCAAAAGCTATAAACACAGTTGAGTAATGGACTCAAGTACATGGAGAGATATGCCATATTAGTGGATCAGAAGACTCAGTACTATTAATTCCTCAGTACAGTTAATATTACTGTTAATATAGATTCCTCACAGTGCCAATTAAAATCCTAGCAGCTACTTTGTATTAAAAAATCAATCAAAATTTAAAATCAAGCCGATTCTTAAATGTAAATGGAAGCATTAAGGACCTACAAAGTCCAAAAGCAACAGTACTGAAGATAGTGTGATGTTTGTGTGAGAAGAGGCTCACAAACCAATGGGATAGGGCAAGCAAATTGGTGACATTTAAACTAGATTTTGAAGAAGACAAGGAAGAAGGGAATTCGGATTTGAAGCCTATTATGTGACAAGTACTTTAAACAGACTATTTTAATTAACCTCCATTTTATTTTAACCACAAGCCTGTTATAGTTTTAATACTACTATATTAGTGATGAGCAAACTACTGATCAAATAGTTTAGTCTAAGGTTACATAATTTACACATGGGGGAGCTGGAATTTGAATGTACATCAATGCTCCAAAATTCCAAGGTTTTCTAGCAGAAAAAGTGGGGGTAGGGGAGCAGAGTAATGAGAAGATGAACAGATATGGTAATCACAGGAGAGACCAGTACAGAACAGGTGACAGAAAATGAACAAAGGTCTCCTACTGTCTTAATTAAGAAAAACAAAGGGCCACAGAATATAATTCTACTGGTGGAAATGTGTATGTCAAAAGAAAGACTTTGGGAGGAAAAGAACATTGAGGTCCACATTATTCCTTTAGCTCCTGTCTCAGGTGTAGCCAGCTTGAAAGTGGCTCTGTACCTTGTTGCAGAATTTGAGTGAAAAGACCATAGCAAAATCTATGAATAATAAATTTTATCATTTTTTAATGACTCAGTATAACAGGGTATCCAAGAAATGGGAGGTTATCACTGTAGTGGAATGTCCAGTAATATAAAATGCATTTTAATGAGTCCACACAAACTTATTTGTCCAGTGAGGTTTTAGCAAGCACAGGCTTAACAGGCACTTGCACACTGGGGATGTCCTCTTGAAATGCTTCCTTTTGAAACTCCAAGCTACCTAGCAAAGAAATGAGATCTGGCTACCTAGCAAAGAAATCATGTAAAGAGAAAGGAACATCAAGCCAGCTCCTCAGACGTTCCAGCTATCTTAACTGAGGCACCAGACATGTGAGGCCTTCCTGGATTTCTAATCCCAGTTGAGCCTCCAAATAAATGCAACTATGATTCACTCTAAGCAAGCCAAGCTGAAGAACTACTCAGCTGAGCTCAGCCAAGATTACAGAATATGAGCAAATACTTGGTTTACTATGCAACAAAAGATAACTGACAGATATTTTGATAAAAAGATTACTCTGTGTGTGTGTGTGTGTGTGTGTGTGTGTGTGTGTGTGTGTTTTAATTACTTCTCATATACCAGGTCTATGCAGTGTATCAGGGGAAAAAAATACTGCATAAAGAAGTTAGTTACAATCCAAATAATGAGAGCATCACAAAACACTAGGTTAATAAAATGGATTTTTTTTTATTCAGGTACCTATACACACCTCTGTAAGAAGACATGTTTACTATAATAAATTGATATTACAACATAACATCAACATTCTCTACTGCATAATTTGTCCTGTTAGCTTACTTATGAAATCACTTGGTTGGTTATGAAATGCTAGCAACTGCTAAAATAGAAGGAAAGTGCATCTTAAAACAAATGTTTTTACAAATGGCTCTAAGGTGGGTTGCTTTTAAAAACATATTATTTGGCTTCATTCACTTCTGTCTCTATAAGCACTCATTCCTTTACCTTCATCCTTTTCAAAGGATTATTCAGCTCTCGCTGGAATGAAGCTGCTCTCCCTGAAAGGAAGGTCTGAAATGCAACAGCCAACAAATTCTCATACTTTTCAAGCAGAGTTTTATCTTCGGGAGGATAAATTCGTCTACAATAAATCAGACAAACCAATTTGTTTAAAAGAAGCTACTGTAGTGCAATAGCTAAGTTCAATTACACAGATAGTCCTTGACCACCTACTCTCTACCAGTTGCTTCACTAGGTGCTAGAAATAAAGATGAATGCAGCTATAAGAAATTCACACAAATTTTCATCAGTTATTTATACAAAGTTTATCTAGAGAATGGTCATTAAACAATGAAGCTCCAGAAAGCACAGTAAAAGGGTTGGTTGTGGAGCAGTGGTTGGAGAAGAATTGCAATTAGGCATATTGAAGAAATATGGATCTTCATGGGAGAGAGCAGGTGATGAGGAATAATCTGGAAATATGCAATTACAGTGTGGTTACTGACACATACAAGAATGTGGGCATTTATCTTGATATTCTCTTTTGGGATGGTGGAATGTGCCTCTCTGAAGAAGAGAAGAAGGTAGAGGTAGAATGAGAGGAATGTGTTCTCAGAGTTGCTGTTGATGGTGTTAAGGCAGAAAAGAATGTTTTACTAAGAGTGTGAGAAGCTCTGTGGCCCCAAGTTCTCCTAATCCTTAATGACATTAAGTTAATGTCAAGCTTGGGAAGAGCGGCACTCTGTCCAAGAACACAAGGAATTCAGAAGGGGTGTCCTCTTTTATCTTGTCAGAGGATACCATGGAGGTGTTCCAGTTCAACACAGTCTACCCCTCTGTATTGTCTCATATCTGCCTCCTTTAAACATTTTCATTATTTGCCTGGTTCCTGATATATGCGAGTTTAAACAAAGTAGAGCAACCACTCTGAACTGACAGAAAGAAAACTATGAGACCTAAAACCTGACTTTCTCAAAATACTACATTATAAGTAAATAAGGTCACAGAATAGTATCAGACTTAAAAGATCTCATGCAACCACCCATGAAGCTGGCTAGCAGGAATGAAACAAATAGTGCTCAAAATAAGTATAAAAGGTTAAAAATGTAGAACAGTTGTTTTGACACTTTACCTTTTCAATCTATAAGAAAATGGAGGCACAGTTACCTATAATTCCCCATATGCCGATTTTCATGTTCCTCTTTTAAAATCTGCTTTCGTAACTGAGCGAGTCTCTCTTTCTAGAAATGAAGAAATTTAACAAATAAAATCTGACCAATGAATTATGCAATTCAAATTGTGGATATATTCTAAAAATTTTCATACCAACTCTTCTTTCCGCCTCTCTAACTGATGTCTCTGCTGTTCCCAGTCTGAGGACCCTGGTAAGAGCCTTTTTATTGAATTTTGACCATATAGTCTCCTTTGAGCCTCAGCTTTTTGTTTGGCCAAGTTTCTCCTTTTATCACTGGTCCTGAAATTTAAAACACAGGAATTCAAGTAAGTCCTGATCTTATCCCTGTGAGGAGAATGAGCAGAAGAGGAGACACAGTGGGGCTATGAATCAATGTTTATATATATCCACATCCGTCATATTCATCTAATCATCCATCAACTATGAGTCTCCTTATACTAAACTGAAGTTCTGTATTCCCAGGAGCTGTGATGGAATACTCTGAGCAATCTACATTCTTTGGGATTTTCTTGAGATTAAAAGCATATATCCTTACAAAATGAACTTTGAGGTATACATGGAGCCACACTCTAAGTAAAACATTGTGTTAAGAATTGTGCAGACTTGGGGGCACCTGGGTGGCTCAGTGGGTTGGGGCCTCTGCCTTTGGCTCGGGTCATGATCCCAGGGTCCTGGAATCGAGCCCCGCATTGGGCTCTCTGCTCTGCGGGGAGCCTGCTTCCTCCTCTCTCTCTGCCTCAGCTAGTTGTGATTTCTCTCTGTCAAATAAATAAAATATTTAAAAAAAAAAAAGAATTGTGCAGACTTGAAAGACAAGTCTAACACATATATGCCCATGGAGCACTCCATCTGGATGGAGAGAAAAGGCACATCTATAATGTAAACTTCATTAGCATATGCTCAAAGTGTTAAGAATTGTACTAAATTCTTTGAGTGGAACAACACTAAGAAAAATAAGGAAAACGAATTCCAATTTTCCTTTATTTTTAAGTCTAGAAATTTCTCACTGTCTGAACTATGTATATCTCACTTTTAAGAAGACAAAAACACCCATAGATTATGTCCTGAACTGGTTGGCAAAGACACGCAAAAAACAAAAACAAAAAAAAATAATAAGGCTTACTTATATAATAATAGTAAATGTAAAAGAAAGTATAGGTATACTGTTTGAATAATCCAAAATATTTGATGCACTTGTGTAAGCTAAATAAACAAAAATTTCACTTTCTATATCTCCTCTATTCATTTATTTTAGGATAATTGAAATGTCAGTTAAATTGAGGTGAATCATTCTTTGATCAAGCAAAAAAGGGGCCATATGAAAATTTCTTAACAAATTTACCTATCAAAAAAAAAAAAACAGAAAAACGAATTCATGCATTGATCTCTTTTTTTAATAATGCTTTCCATAGAAAGCTACTTCTTAAGCAGGTATCTGCTAAATGCTTGGAAACATTTAAAATAAATAAATTGCTTGGAAGCATCCCACAACTCTTTTAGAGTTCTTTAAATGACGATTAGAATCAATTGAAATAATAAAATCCCTGGGCTTAAATGACCTCAGAGGTCCTTTAATCCAACACCCTAAACACTATTTGAACACTTAATGGTAAACGCCTCACAACTTCATTAAGCAGTTCAATTAAACTTCTAACAAATTTCTTTCATACTGAGCCAAAAGCTTTCCTACAATATAGCATTTTAAATATTTGAGATCCATGATCATTTACACTGCAACCAACCTAATAATATTCTGTTGGTGCAGTAATCCCCCTTCCAAGTACATATCCAAAGGAGTGGAAATTGGACTGCAAAGAGATACCTGCACTCCCATGCTCATTACAGCATTATTCACAATAGTCAAGACAGAGAAGCAAACTAAATGTTCCTCAATAAATGAATGATAAAGAAAATGTGGTATATACATACAATGGACTATTATCCAGCATAGGGGACGGGGAGAAATTCCTGGCTATGCTTTTCTTTTTTTTTTTGCAAAAAAATTTTTTTTATGTTTTCAGTTTTTTTTTATTTTATTTTTATTTATTTTCAGCATAACAGTATTCATTGTTTTTGTACCACACCCAGTGCTCCATGCAGTCCGTGCCCTCTCTAATACCCACCACCTGGTTCCCCCAACCTCCCACCCCCCCCCACTTCTTCAAACCCTTCAGATTGTTTTTCAGAGTCCATAGTCTCTCATTGTTCACCTCCCTTTCCAATTTCCCCCAAGTGCCTTCTCCTAACTCCCCATGTCCTCCATGCTATTTGTTATGCTCCACAAATAAGTGAAACCATATGATAATTGACTCTCTCTGCTTGACTTATTTCACTCAGCATAATCTCTTCCAGTCCCGTCCATGTTGCTACAAAAGTTGGGTGTTCATCCTTTCTGATGGAGGCATAATACTCCATAGTGTATATGGACCACATCTTCCTTATCCATTCGTCCATTGAAGGGCATCTTGGTTCTTTCCACAGTTTGGCAACCCTGGCCAGTGCTGCGATAAACATTGGGGTACAGATGGCCCTTCTTTTCACTACATCTGTATCTTTGGGATAAATACCCAGTAGTGCAATTGCAGGGTCATAGGGAAATTCTATTTTCAATTTCCTGAGGAATCTCCATGGCTATGCTTTTCAATGGGACGGTTAACCCTGCCTTAACAACTTAACAACTGCCTCTTTTTTGTTTACCCAAGCAGCAAGACCCAGTGGGAAGTCCTCTGAACAGAAAGGTAGGAAATCCATGTGTTTGAGGGTTGTTACTTTTTTAACTTCCTGAATGAACTCTGCTTTAGTTTCTTCTTGTGAGGTGAGGAAGATAATGTAGAGATTTTCCTCAGGTATTCTCCAACACAACCTTACACTCTATATTGAATAATTATACACACACTGTAATTTAACCTATTTACTGAAGATTCAGAACCTGATATGGAGAGAAGAAAAAGCAGTTTGTAGAGAGGAAAAGATATTTAAAAAGAAAACACTAAATGGGTTTGAAGAATGGAATCAAGAAATTCAAAATATAAAATAAGAAAAAATTACAAGCCAATCCCATGTACAAGTGATTGTTCTATGCCAAAGGTGGTGAAAACCTGCCAAAAGATGGAGGAAACACTTTACCTGATGTTTAGCAGCTTTAGAGCATTTAGCAGCACTCCCCTTTTTACATCATAGTCTATTTTCTGATCAGTTCCAAAGCTTGGAGCACGATTAATCTGAAATTTACAAAGAAAAGATGAGAATAGCCAAATGGTGGTGGTTAATTAATATTCAAAACATATTTGTTAAGCTAATGCAAGATCCCAAACCAGTAGAAAAACTCTACAATAAATCTCAAGGCTCTGCATGGTAGATGGTCCAGTTACCACTGCCATATCTTCCTTCCCCACCACCCTAAGTCAAAGAGTTGCAAGGAATTGACTGTTCTCATGGTCCACCTCCCCCTGCTGCCTTAGCTCAGGATCTTCAGTAAGCATTTGTGCCCTCTCCCTCTTCTCCACCTTCTCCAACCCAACACCTCATGCACTCTAGGTTTTAAGTTTAGGGAAGTTAAAAGTGACTCATCCTGACAAAATTTTAGAAGACCAGTATTAACAATAATAATAATGATGTAACAAAAATAATATGCATGTTACCAATACAGTAATAATTAAATGTACTTATTTAGCATATAGAAACTCTCAGTGCCTTCTTTGCACTGCTTCAGATCTTCTGGATGATTTCATCTATTGCTGCCTAAAAAAGAAATTATTTTCTTTCTACCTGGATCAAACAATAAATCATCAATTTTCATTTCCAAAGACACTGACTATAGAACTCAGAAGATACCATTAAAGATAACTGCAGATTAACTTCTATGAGTTTCTCTGTTTAAGGACTCATGGGAATAAGCAAGCCATTTGTGGGTGTTCTTTTCAACATTTTTTCCAGGATTTCATTAAGATGAAAAATAGGAAGTAACAGTAACTGCATATACCCTGAAATCCATTTTACAATACACTACCACCTCAAGAGCAGGAATTTTTGTCTTTGTCTTTTTTGCTATGAAAACATAACTAGAATAGCAAGTGTTTAAGAAAATTACTTAATTAATTCAGTTGGCTAGAACACTGCTGAGTTCAAACCTACAGCTTAGCTTCATGACCACCACCAAATCTCATAGCATATCTCAAAAAAATATGACACCATTAGTCATAGAAGAGGGTTGTCTTATACAATTCTATTCCATAAGAGACAAAATAACTAACAGTATGCATTTCACAACTGGCAGCTATAAGAAATATAAGTAAGTAGAAGTATGTACATAGAAGTCAAACAGACAACAAAAAGATCACCTGTAATCCCATTACCCAGTAGACTATAATCCATCTGATAAATGGTGTATTGCTAACCATTTGATAAATGATAAATTTTTGTTATGCATATTTATAATTTTTATTTTATCTTCCAAATACATACCTATACTAACAATATTATTCTATAATCCAAGTTTTTTAAAATATATCATGAAAATCTTTCATGTCATCATTTTGACCATGGTATTCCATTTATAGAAATGTGCCAAACTATATTATGCTTTTGCTGATCTCTGATTTAGAAGGTGATGGATATATTTCTGCCCATGTGATGTGGTCTCAAGGAGAAGGGAACAGTGTGGTAACTTTAAGAACATCCATTTATTTCAGGCAAAATTTAAGAAAGGGAGTTTATTAATCTGTTGCTTCAAAACTCTTAAGTATTTCCACTTACAAGTATGAAGAAAGGATACGGTAATATCTTTTATATGAAAAATCTTTTAAAAATAAAATATTTTCTATACTATTCTATTCTGATTCAAATCTCTGCAATTTGTTATACAACTAACAACAGCTCTGCTGCTACACAGGACAGGATTATAAATTGAACCAGACATTTAGGAACCAATGACTAAATGGGTCACTGAAATGTTATCTATCTTTATAGAATTCCTTAGGTGTTCCATTCTAAAATTGCCATCTGGAATTCTACCAGACATATCTGTCCTCCAGGATGGAAGTAACCTCAGACCCTCTGTTACCTATGTCAGAATATTCCCTCTACTACCATAGAAAAGAAATTGGTCTACTGAGAAATGTACCCACACAAGGTAAACTAATATGTGAAAAGGTAGAAGAAAACTTTTTTCAATTCACATTTTGGATTTTTCAAAAGTTTTATGAGAAAGGTAAAGTAAAAAATAAAGATAGAAGGATAAAGTAAAAAATAAAGACAGAAGAAATTCTGAAAATTAAGGTTCCATTCAGTCAAAATTTTACCCTGGGGTGCCTGGGTGGCACAATGGGTTAAGTGTTCAACTCTTGGCTTTGGCTCAGGTTGTTATCTCAGGGTCCTGAGATGGAGCCCAGCATCGAGAGACTCTCTCTCCCACCTCCTATGCCTCTCCCCACTGCCTCTCTCTCTCACAAATAAATAAATAAGTCTTTAAAAAAAAAATCTATTCTGTGATGTTGATGGCTTCTTTGGTTCTCATTTCCTACCCCAATTCTAGAACAAACAAAGCTCAGCAGATGTTAGAGTCTTAAAGTTCAGTAGCTTGTAAATGCATGCAAAAATAAAAACTATTGGAAAGCAAATTAAATTAATAAATACTATTTATTAGCCAACCAAATCATAATTTTATTATCAAAACAAGCAAAATAATTTTATGCATATATCAAAGTATCCATATTAGATTCTAGGCTCCCAAATTACCATTGTTCCCTTGGTCTAGTAACTTATCCCCATCGCACCCCCATCTTTCCTAACCCCCAGTCCCCACTGCACCTTCCACAGCCTTAAGCACTCTGCTCAGGTGTTCCCTCCTCTGCAAAGATTTTTTTAACTGTCAAATAAACACATGCACACAGAGAGAATAATCACTTTATTGTTCGTGCTGGTACCCTGTTCCTTACTTTTTTACTCATAACTATTACTGTAAGACACATATCTGAGTCCCCACTAGACCAGGGTAAGTGTTCTGTCTTCTTGGATCTCCACCCCCTGACACAAGGTCTTGTTGAAATTAATTAATGGGTAATTAAAGTATCAACAGCTTATTCATATCCTACCCAATTTCCATATTTTCCTCCCAAAAAATGTTTCTGTGCTTGAAAATTTCTGCAATTTTGCCACTATGAATTATTACCTGCAATTATTCCAGTTAACTAAAAGTTATCATATTCTCAGATGCACCTTCTATCTTATTCCACTTGATGGTGCCAAAAGGTTTTTAACAACATATGTTAGAACCACTACAATTGCAGCTGGGAGAAAACACAAAGAAGCAAGATCTAAATAAGATTCCTTTAATTATTTAATATAACAAATCTTTCATTATCCATAGCTGTTGGTTACTGTAAAGTTTCTGTAATGGTTCTGACTGATCTGGAAATGAAGAAATGAATCAAAAATGAAAATATGTTAATGCAAATAATGTTATTTAGCTCTTGATTATTGTCGAGTTTTTTAATGGCTATTGATCTGGACATGACGAAGAGAATAAAGTATGAAGAAACATTAATGCAAACAACGGTGTTTTGAGCCTTTAAAAAAATACAAAATTCAACCATTCGGTCAATTCTGATATACCAAACTCATACAAAGCTCATTAGACAAATGCTTTTAAAACCAGGTCAACTAATCATCTGCAGTCATTATTCCCCGATATACTTTCAGCTCCACCTCATGCATGCGCAGTCACTTCTTCCCCACCCCATCAAAGACAAAGGACAAGCAGCAAGAGCAGGAAAAGTGGATCTATAGTTAAGAACAGGAAACGAAAATTGCAGACAAAGTAGGAAACCTAAGGAAGAAAATATCAGGTCCTAGTAAGATGCAAAGTCAAGTGCTTTCATATACGTGTAATGAAAGAAGCAAAAAGACAAGCAAAATTCCTCACATTTTTCTTATTTCGAGGACCCAGGCAAGAGTAAAATTTGAACATCTGACACCTATAGTTGATTGGAAACGTAAGATACATTCCTGGAACATAGAATGAACACACACACACACACACACACACACACACACACACCCCATAAGCCCTCCAACTGGGAAAGTGCTCTTTCTTGAAGATATACTTTGAATCTCTTGATTATCTATCACTCATTCAATTTGCTTTTTCAAGTTACAGATGGAACTTCCAACTTCAAAATCATTACCAAAAAAAAGAGATGATCAGCTTAAAATGAAAGGTACTTGGTGACTGTGCCTTCTACAGCAGTATGTCCCACAGTGTAACTAATCTAATCAACACTGGTGTTAGGTATGTGCTGTTTTCCTGGTAAAGTTTCCTAAGCACAGTGTTCTGTGCCCATGCACTCTGTGACTCCAGATCTGGGGTCTGAGAGGGAGCTGCTGAATGGGTTAGTACTGGACCACATAACTTCTAAGTTTTGTTTTTTTGTTTTTTGTTTTTTGATGTAACATAAATATGACTGGAAGGAAATGTACAAAAATCTTAAACAGAGACTATTCTTATTTTTCCCTTATATCATCTCATCTTTTCCTAATACTAAGTGACCTTCTATAATAGGAGAAAAGTAATGATGACTCTGACCATAGCAGGGACTGGCAGCAAAGCCAAAGGAACACAGTTAACAGGCTGGGTATGAGCGGAGCCCCAGGCGTATTACATGGCCTTAAGGGAGAATCCATGCCTACTGGGGTATGAGGTACTGAATACTGATTAATGAACCAGTGGAGCCTCTCTCTTCTTGGGAGAGTTTGAATGGCTGTGATCCTGAAGCCCAGCCACCCACACAGAGGAAAGACAACACCCAGAAGTCATGAAGTGGTAGAGGCCGTGAGGCTGGGAAAACAGCGGAGAAAGTAGATAACAAATCAGTAAAAGCAGATCCATGCATATATTCAAAATTCCTGGCCTAGAAATTCACTCAACATTCATTTAGGAAAAGTAGTATCAAGCACATACTGGCCCATTCCTGGATCTGTTCTATTCTCTGAAATTTTGTTCTCTGCCTCCCACATGCTCCATTCAAGCCTCTTTCTGCCCAGTTAATGAGCCAACTGTGCCAAGTACACATTTAAAAAACATTTGTTTTCATGCACAAGGACAGTAGTAACTTCACTTTCTTCTTAAAAGAAATGCCTTACCTCCAGAAGCCATGGCTTTAGTTTTCTGTCCAACAAAATATCGAATCCCAGGACTTCGAAACAGACACTTTCACTTCCTGGAGGTTGACCGGGTCTGCACATTCGATACGCATGCAGGACATGAGGCTCTGCTACAATCAAAGTCTTTACAACCAACTCCTGCACGTATAGTGATTTAAAGAAAAAGAAAAAAAAAAAAAGGTGAAAATGCCTTACAGAAAAAGTTTACATATATGGAAATAAGGCCTGGACCTACAAACAGCACCCTGGTCAAGTTCCCAAAGCTCTATGCCATGTGGCCCCTGCCACTGCTCTGATTCCACTTCATGCCATGCCTGCCCTGCTCACTACACCCCTCGCAGGCTTGCCTGCTCAGGGCTCCTGGCAATAACTGGTTCCTCCTTCTGGAACACCTCTCCTGATAGTCCCATGCCCGGCCTTGATATTCAGAGAGACTTCCCCAAAGCTGGAGTCGACAGTAGCTGCTGTCATCCCTTCTTGCACCACTTCGCACAGTATAGAATCAGCACATCTTTTCCTTTTTTTTGTTGAGAGCCATGGCCTTGTGCCTATGTTAGTGCCTGCCATTTAGAAGATGCTCAAAATAGTTATGAGTAAGTAAAAAAGTTGATAAATGTGGCTTCTATCGGTTAAATAAATAAGGCTAAGATCATATGCTAGCCTTCTCAGAAACCATGCAGAAGGGTTTAGGAGTGGCAGGGAAGAAAAACTACAAGGAGGATAAACTATTTCACAGACAGCATAGAACTTCCACTTAGACAAAAGCTGGAAAAGTGGGATAGAATCTAGGGGAGGTGGGCTTCTTTGTGTGGTAGCGATTTTGCAGTTCATAAGGTTTACCTGAGAAGAGAGTCCAGCCGATTACAGAAATAGCTATCAACACTTTCTGCGAGGACACACGACACTACTAGAGTGAGTTATGAATACTCATAAAACAAAAAGTTGGTTTACTGAAGTTTAAGAACAAGTTACGGATTGTGGAAAAGCTGTCTTGCAGGGGTTTTTGGCTTAGAATATATGTTTTTTTAAGTCCCTCTCTACAGGTATAGGCAATTTAGCAAGGCAATTAAGAACTTAGCTCAAAAATCAGGCTTTCTGGGTTTATTCTTGGCTTTGCTTCTTGCTAGATGTACAACCTCAGTTACGTTGCTTTAACTTTGTGAGTCTCACTTTCCCCAAGATAAAGGGGAAGTAGTAGTAATACCTACTGCAAAAGACTGATGTAAGGACAGAATGAGACTCCATTTAAAACTCTCAGCATAGTGCCTAGAACAGAGTAAACCTTCAATAAGTGTTAACTACTACTCTTATTATAGTTATTCTATCATTCCTCCCAAACCCCACCTCCTGTGTCAGGTCAGAAACAAACATTCTACTACCTGGTGGCAGCAATATTCACTGTATGAGAGAAAAAAATGAGAGACAGAAATTAACTTTGCTGTTACCCAGACCCCCAATCCAGATCATATTTGGGGTAAGTATCAGAGATGGCATGAGAGGTTGTTTTACAAAATTTTCATCAAAATAAAAAATTAACAGTAACACTAAAGGATATAAAGACGAAAGCCAAAAAACCACTTCATATAAATTTTTGGATATATTAGTGAAGTCACTAGAGAATAAAGGAAAAAAAGTTAAAATCTTGGCTAATAAGTATCTGCATGAAACAACTCATGCAGGGTGGGGAGAGTGAATAGTAATAAACCCTGAATTACAAATTGGTGTTTTTTCTACATAAAACACACATTTGTAAGGAATGCAAAGGCAAGACTGCAGATATACGTGAAAATCAGGAGTGACATAACCAAACATGAATCAAATTCCACTAATGCTTTTGAGAATTTCCAACACAGTGGCATTGCTTTGAAATACGATTTGTAGATTTGTACATATATGTAAATATACAAAAAGCATTCAGTAAGGATGGTTTTACGAGTGATTACAATGGTTGTAATTTCTGTGGCTTGATTTTCTAGTGATTTCTTACTCATTCTTGACCTGCACAAAAGTATATATCTCTGTGCTACATACGGGGTACTACTGTATGTCAGTTTTCATACACAGTCACTTTTTAGAGAAATTACCCCCCTAAAAAAAAGGTCATTAGTTAAAAAAGTCCTAAGTTAAATTCATGAAATTTGCAAACTATGACATTAAGATAAAAATTTACTGATTGACACTTTCTTTATCTCCTCCTGTTTTTATATTATTTCATTAACTCATCTTAAACAGATATCTTTATATACAGTTCTTAGTAAAGATAAATATAATTATAAAATACAATTATAAGATAATTATAAAATATGGAAAAGTAAGTATTAACAGTCTCTTAAGTATTAACTCATTGCTTATTTATAGATTGTTAATAAAATTATACATTCTAATGTAGGCAAGAATGATATAAAATTTACCCATTTATAGAAGGGATCATAAATGTTTCTGAGCTTATAGGTGCACATTGACCACATTTAAGTTATATATGAAAATTATATTTTAGGCTCTAACAGAAAGGTTCATTTCTACACCCTCTTATTAACATGAGTCTTACTTCTATGCCTTCTCCCAATTCAATCATGTAGGGAAAGTACCACTTAAAGCCAGTTTTTCTCTCTGATTGATTCTCTCTACTCATTCTTCACCAAGGATTCTCTCTACTCATTCTTCACCAAGGCAGTCCAAGAAGTTACACCTTTCCACGAGGACTTCTCCAAAGAAGTGAAAACCCAGATGGAAGTGAAAAATTTGGTAAAGAAAAAGGAATATCACAGGGCATAGAGAACTTTCTTGTTCTCAGTGAGCTAGTCATCACATGATTCATTCATTAAATCGTCCAGGTAGCATCAGTACTGATCTTCCATGTATGAGCCACTGCCCCAAAAAAACAAATTTCACCCCTTTGATGAATCTAAGCTGCTATGATAATAAACTATTATTATTAAAATATTTTTTTGAATTTCTGAAAAATTGGCATTGGTAGAATAAATAAGTAGATAAATAAACACAGCATTATTATACTCAAAATTCTTGTTTGAATGTATCGAGGTTATCAGGAAGATAGAGTAGAAAGTTAACAAGTTGGTGGACCTCTTACAAAATTCAGTGGACAAACATTTATGCTGGAGCCCCTGAATTTCTAAAAAGTGTTGAATGTGTTGCCAATATTTATAATCAAGAGACTTAGAGTTTTCACTGGCAAATTAGAAGAATGAGTCACACTGGGCCCGGAATACCATGTAGCACCAAAAGGCTGGTGCTGAGTAGTGTCCACCCCCTTCAGATGTCTTATGCTTTTCAAATCACCACAGTAAACACCCTATTTACTTCTTTGCAGACCATTTCACTCCTTTTTACTTGTCTGACACCCAAGGGTCTCTGGATTTATGTTCTGTGATATAGAAAATAAAATAAAATAAAATAAAATAAAATAAAAATAAAAATAAGAAGAAATAAAAATTAAAATTAAAAATATCAACCAACAAAACAACAAAAGGATAAATACAATGATGCTGATTTTTCTGATTTTCTCAAAAGAACCATATTCACTATGAACTTTCATGTCCATTTTCCATGATAGATTTATTTAAATTATATAGTATTTGTCCCCAAAGGCAAGCTAAACCATACTGCATAGCCCTCTCATATTAAGTCCTCTTCTAACTTTGAATACCATTGTGATACCTCTGCTGGGATTAATAAAGGGTCAGTTTCACTGAGGTTATCTTCTCAGATCTGCTTCCTTTATTCTCTTTACCATTATCATTTGCAATGCAACCCACCGCCATGGCTTTAAGTACCAATCACACCCCAAACCTACACTTCGAACTGCGTGCTTGATCTTTATACCTGAGAAAACATTTTAAGCTCAACAAGTCTCTACTGGAACTCATTATCATAGCCTCATGACCTTTTAACAGTTTAGTGCAGGTGTCAGTGCCTCCAGAAAGCCCTTCTCCAATCCCCACCCATAGAAAGCTACTATCTGGTCTTCCTCTACATTCCCACAGAATCCCGTGCATGGCTCTGTTGTTGTATGTGTTAAATTACACTTTATTAACAACTTCTATGTGGGTCTTTCCTACCAAACTCCAAGTTTTTTGAGGATTGGAGCTGTATCTCATAAATCTTCAGATTATCAGCCAGAAACAAGCATATATTATGGGTTCATTAAGTGTTTACTGAATGACTGGATGAAAGTAATGAAGAGAACTCTTTTCCCTCACCTATAAAACTAAACTCTAGATTATCTAAAAATAAATTCCTTTCTACTCTATTTCAGATAAAGCCACGCCCATTCTCCCTATAATTCCTCCTTAAAACTGCAGAGGAATGTCTGACTACTTCTCCATGATTTTGGACATTCAGTTAATATCAATGCTGACCTCACTGTCCCCTCTTCTACTGTGGTTCATTTCAGGCCATTCTTTTCACTTAAACTACCTCTCGGTGCCTTCCTCTACCTACTCTTGGTCTGTACTATACCAATATTCAGATTTACCTTTTAAATTCACAGTCATTGGCCTTACTACTCTCCTCCTACTCTCCTCCCTTAAAATCTGGAAGGAATGAATCCTTACTGCCTATCAAGTTAAGCCTTGATTTTCAGACCTAAAATTTTGCCTCCACATATCTTTTCAGCCGTAAGTCCCCACAAAATTCCCAAAATACCATATGTGTCAACCTGGGCCACTTACCACTATTTTCATACATCTATGCCTTTACTTATGCTTTTATTTGCACCTAGAACTTCCTCTCTCCAATCCCTAGCAATAAAAATAGCATTTATCAAGGTCTGTCACAATTCTCACTTCCCTCATGAAAATAGTTTATCTGCCCAATCTAATGTAATCTGTTCTTTAGTTAAAATGCTGATGATGGGGCGCCTGGGTGGCTCAGTGGGTTAAAGACTCTGCCTTCAACTCAGGTCATGATCCCAGGGTCCTGAGATAGAGCCCCGTATCGGGATCTCAGCTTAGCAGGGAGCCTGCTTCCTCCTCTATCTCTCTCTGCCTGCCTCTCTGCCTACCTGTGATCTCTGTCAAACAAATAAATAAAATCTTTAAAAAAATTTTTAAAAAGAATAAAATGCTGATGATCCTTTAATCTGAAGAAAGACAGTTATAATTGTGAAAATGGTATAATCTTACTGAAATATCACTCCAAAACTTAGCAACATCATGTTGATTTGCTTGTAGGAATTCTGTAAACCACTTGATGGAACGTTTGCTGCCTTTGTTTTCCGTCTCATCCCTTTCAAAACGCTCATTGTGCTTGTTCACAGAGTAGTTTGTTAGATGCATGTATAACTGGGTCTGTAACAAGTAAGAACCAAAGTTGTCATCAGCTATGAAACTCTAGAACTGTGAGGTTTCACAGACCATAAAGCAACCAAAGATGAAAGACTATTTTAAAGTTTTAAAATATACAGATCAACAATTTCATGATGACTTAGATAATTTTCAAATTAAATACAATGGCATATTTCTAATAAAAGGATTACAAATGTAGTCATCTACAAAGTTACTCTATATATTATTCAAAATATATCTACCATTAAAAGCATTAAAATAATTATATGAAACTGAAATTACACACTGCTAAGCAAGAAAAACAGTTTGTTTTTGTTAATTTGTTTTTAATTTTTTTTTTCCTGATAGTTCTCACCCATATTTGTTTTGGGAAGAGAATTTTCTAAGAGAGTATTCTGTGTTTTTTCAAAAAATAAAAAATGAAATATCAAGTAAGTAGCATGAATCAAAAGGCAGGACTACCAAACACAACCTCTGCCTTGCATAGGAACTAGGAGGCCACCGGAACTCATTCACGAGACAGAGTGCACTTCAAATCAGCAGACAGAAGCAGCACATGAGGCTGTACAGAGTCTAAATGATTAACAGTAAATTAACAGTACTCCTTACTGGAGCTGTTATGCCTTAGCCTCTTTACACTTTTATATTTGTTGTTACTGTTATCCTCAAATAACTTGAAAAAGAATCCAAAATTTTAATCCTTTCGTAATTGTCAACTAATACATATCTAATGATTCCTTATCAATCTAGCACAAACATTCATCAAATCTGTATCTCCTACCCTCATGAGCCTATTCCCAGGAGTTACTTTAGAGAGCAATGTTGCATCACAATGAATATATACTTCATGTACATGATTATTATTTAGGTTTGTTATTAACCAAGTATATTTGTATCATATTTTATTTTCACTGCAGTTACTTAGGTCTACAATATAAAATCTTTGAAACAAGTGTGCAGAAGTGATCATTTGAGCTACATGTTGTTTACTAACCCAAGTGCCCATCACTAATTAAGAATTTATTTTTTCATTCTGGGACACCTGGGTGGCTCAGGTCCTGATCCCAGGGTCCTGGGATAGAGCCCCACATTGGGTTTCCTGCTCAGCGGGAAACCTGCTTCTCCCTCTCCCACTCCCCCTGCCTGTATTCCCTCCCTCACTGTCTTTCTGTCAAATAAACAAAAATCTTTAAATTTAAAAAAAAAAAGAATTTATTTTTTCATTCATTAAACAGTACTTATGGAGCACCTACTTACTATCTACAGGAACTGGTACTGGGCACTGTGGATACATAGATAAACAAGATAGATACAGTCCCTACCCTAATGAAACTTAGGAAAAAGCTTTAAATTAAGTGATATTTAAAAGAAAGAACATAAATCTTATGCTTATCTAACTGTAAGTGTTTCACCTGAAGAAAAAGGAAATTAATCGAACTATAGAATTTCCTAGTTGCCAAAATATAAATCATTTTTCAATTTAAAAAAAGTTGAAAAATAATTTTTTGAGGGGGTTCTCCATTTGGCAAGAATTTCTTGAAATAAATAATAATAGCAGTAATAAAGACTCTAGCTATCCTAGTGAAAAAGTGAGTAAAAAATGGAACTGTGCATTTTTCTTAAAACAGGATCTTTGGGGCACCTCGGTGGCTCAGTTGCTTAAGTGACTGCCTTCGGCTCAGGTCATGATCCTGGAGTCTTGGGATCAAGTCCCACATCAGGCTCCCTGTTCGGTAAGGAGTCGGCTTCTCCTGCTGACCTCTCTCCTCTCATACTCTCTCTCTCTTAAATAAATAAATAAAATCTTAAAAAAAAAAAAAAAACAGTATCTTTGTAAGTAGGATTGGAAATTCTAGTTTCATATCCACCTCAACAAACATCCCCTTCTAAGTAGCTCATTGCCAGTTGGACATTAGCCATAAGCAATAAACCAAATAGTAACTTGCAAGGAATGAAAAGGATAAAACTATTCTCCACCCCATTTTTTAGCATGTAGGCTCAATACAGTGAATTAGGATATACAAAACTTTTCAAGAACCAGCCAAATGTTACATTGGTAGCAAAGAATAAATGGTTATTATATTTCAATGCCTGAAATTCTCTGTCTTATGATCTCCTTATATGCAGTTTACCAATATTTAATTCTTAGAAATACACACAGCTCTTCATAAAATACATGCTATTTTAAAAAATGGAAATAGGAAGAAACAAATACTCAACAGTATGCCAGTGAGAAGCATTGATTTGTTTTTTCCAGCCTTTTTTCTTAAGCTTACATTTTATATAATTGGGATCTTACTTTACATAAAACTTAAAATTCTATATATTTTTTTTTACTCTTTCGTTTCTTAATCTAGGAGTTTGATCATGAAGTTGAAAAAGGTGAACTTTTAAATTTTAGAGACCTATTAGGAACTGACACTTATATAGGAGAAGATCATTCTTTTTACATGTGAACCAAAGCCACAAGATTACATGATTCAAAAGCAATTGGCAAAGTGAGACCTTGAGGTTACATTTCCTGACTACCATACTTTCTTTATGATTTCCTAATCTAGTGTATTTAAGCAAATCACATACACATAATTTAAGACATTAAAATAAATCACTTTACTACCTAAATGAGCTTACAAGTCTTATTACTCTTTTTTCTCAAAACATGACTATCTACCTTACAATGTATTATTCACACGAATTATTTTAATTATAAGCTAAGAGCTGACGAGTCTCAAATTAGGCCTATAGCTTGGTTCTCTCTTCTGAACTCTACACTTATGCTATACATCTAAATGCTTATAGCCTAGATCCATTTGGAGGCTGTGCAGGTGTGTCAAACCAAACACACTGGCTTCCTGCAAGACCTTTAATAGCCCCTACGTTTCCTACCATGGTGAATCATACATCATCCATCCAATTGGCCCATGCCACAATTCTTGAGTTTTATCCTTAATTTCTCTCTCCTTTCTCCTCCTGTTCTACAAATCTAACCTGTCAGTATATCAATGTTATCCACATTATCATAAATATATCTTAAATCTATATTCTTATTGTTAGTATAGTCCTTCTGCTGCTACTTCAGATAAGGCCATCTTTCCCCTCACAGGTGGTTAGACTGGAAAACAGCTTCTCCCATACCCTCACCTCTCCCATCCATCTACATCTACATCCATCTCTCAGATTCCCCACAGATAAACCAAGTGAGTTTTTAAGATAAAAATCTCACTCCTTCTTTCCTTCTTTAAAATTTTTCAATGCTTCCCTTCTTCTTAGGTTAAATTCCAAAATCCTAGACATGGCCTAAAAAGCCCTGAAAGATCTGTTCTGTAGGCTCTTCACCCTCATCTCCGAACACCCACCCCACCACGGTCTGTATTGAGCCACACTGAACATGAGTGCTTTCTCAGGACACACCATACCTCTGGGCCATTTTTCTCTATGAACTTCCACCCCACCCCACCCTGCCCCCAACCTGGCTAGCCCTTCATTATTCATATTTCACTTAACAATCTCCCTCTCTAAACTTTATCTCCAGCTGCGTTAGTGCCCTTGCTATGCACTGCCTTCGCACCCTCAGTGTCGTAGACCATTACACTTACCATCAGTTATTATAATTGCTTATTTTATTTTCTGCCTCCCCACTAGACTGTTGCTTTTGAGAGGTCAAGCACTGTATCTGTCTTGGTCACTGTTTTTCCAAAACCAGCACAATGCCTAGAATGCAGTAGAGTGCAAATATTACTTGGTGATTGAATATATTCACACCTTATGACCTTTAAAGAGATGATTCTTTCCTTTATCTTCCTTTCCAGTGAAAAATTTACAGTTCTCTTATTCTTCCTTTGCCAGGTTTACAACATTTTTCATTAATTGAACATAGCAACATTTATGATCAGTCATTATGTAATTTTTAAAATACGACTTTCAGTGCAGTTAATTGTGTGCATAACATTGGAGGAGAACAATAACCAGGCTTTTGACAAAATGGGAAATGATAATTATAATTTTTACTATAATCAGTAGGTCCAAAAATAGGGTAGAGGTTAACTAAACTTTTAAGTATGGATAATAAAATTTGTGACTTTCATGATAAATTATGATAATAAATTACAGTTTGACCTTCATAAACCATAAACTGCTGTTTTGACTTTCATCAATGTGTTATGCCTATACAAAGGAAATCTTAATGGAAAAATATCTATAGAAAGCTCCATTTAATAGATTTTCAAATGCACACTAAGACTACCAGTTTATGTCTCTACTTTACATTTGGTCAGTGTAAATTTACCATCTTTTCTTTTGTGCAAAGTGACAAGTTAATAACTCTACTTTCTGATAACTCTCACTTTCTTTGTTTCATATACTTTCTCCCACATCCTACTTGTTAAACCCTAACCTGTGATATAAAGCTTGCTCAAATACCACCTCCTCCATGAAAAGCTAAACATAAACTATCCTTCTACTCAACTCCATGATACTCTGTCTATACTTCTCAATGAGATATTATTTCTATTTATATTTCTAAATAAATCATTTCTATCAGGGCCAAAGCATACACACATGTGTTTTGAAATCCATTTCTATATAGGGTTATTGTATATACATGTGTACACGTCATTTCTATGCAAGGCCACTACATACACATGTGCTTTGAAATCCAGCCTTGTGCTTGCAGACAGCACCCAAAGGGAGGGCCCTCTCCTAATTAGCCTGCCGGAGGAGACACCTTTTTATCTTTCTAATTTTCACAAAGCTGTCCATAAATGAGAAGAAGTCTTGTTTATGTACACAATTCCTAACTATAAAAACCTGATAAGGGGTACTTTGATTCATAGAATCTTTACATATAGTGTATACTCTAAGAAGTACAAGTTGAACAAATGAATAAAACCATAGATTCTGTCTGGTATCACTTACCAAATTAGACTCATTAGGTGGAATGTATTTCTCTGTTCCCATTCGCACAAGTCCATCATGGTAGAGAAATATTTTCAGTGGATCACATGATGTCACCAGAATATAAATTCGTAAATCAAACTTGTAACCTTCCATTAGAAAAGGCTTTTCAATGTATTCTTGAACAATCAAATGATCCTGAGATGGAAGTTTGTCACCATTTCTTATCAAAGAAATTCTAAGTTAAAAAAAATAAAAAAAGAATTAAAAGACTAATTTGATATGGGGTCAAGATATTTACAAAGTTACAGGTAATACTCAAGAGCAAAATGGTGGAGTAGGGAATCCCAGTGTCTGTCCCTCCACAAAAGCAATAAACAGCCAAAAGATAGTCAGAATCAACTTTTTTGGAAAACTAGAAACTGACCAAAAGCTTATAACAACCAAGGAGCACTTAATTTAAAAAAAAAAAAAAAAAAAAAGCCCAAATCTATATAAAATGAGCTTTGTGGCATTTTAACTTACTCTGGCCCATTCCCCAACCTCAACTCATCCTCAGACTTAAACAATAGCCCATGTTCCCAGTACAGGTCCTGGTTCTGGAGGGAGCAGAATAGACCTTATTCTTGTAGTAGTTTTATTTCTCTTGTTACTGTTGTTTTTCCTGTCTGATGGCTCCCTCCAAGATAAAAGGACCGCTTTTATCTTGCCTAATTAGGAATTCTCCTAATGTAGTTGAGGCAGCTACTTGTGGGGGAGTGGGGGAGGGGGTAGGGGGCATTGTTGAAAACATTTGAAGACAAATGCATTAGTTCCTGCTGTCTATGACAACCAATAAATGTTGGAGAAAACAATATACTAACTAAAAATATTGGAAAGAAAAACTAAAGTATGAGAATCTTTGGGGAATAAAAGCTTTGAAAAGCTCAGACATATTTCTGGGAATCTAGAACACCATGTGCATGCCCAAGGCTAAGTGCATGCTCAGGAAAGACTTGAAAGGCCCTAAGCTCTTACCTCTGGTTAACCATCAGGCTCTGCACAAGCATGAAATGAAGACTAGGGCAGAGTTTTAAACTGCCTAGTTGAATGCTGAAGGCATATTCCAACACACATATACACCCCTTCTGCAAGGACTGGGAGTTTGGGTTTGGGGGAGGTTTTCTTGGTTTGTTTCATTTTGTTTTGTTTTTTTGGTTGCAAGTGTTTGAGGAGATGTCTGTCCACTTACAAGCTAAGCACCCACCCAAAAGAACAGGAACTTCAGTTCCACACACAACAAAAAATACAGACTTCAAAAAATTATTTCAGAAAGATAACTAAACAAATAAAGAGCAACCATAACAAGCAGCAACAAAAAACCTTTTAGGGGGGAGAATCCGATTTCCAGCGTTGCTACATTATAACATTCAAAATGTCTGATTTCCAACAAAAAACTATGAGTCATGCAAAGAAAATTAAAGTATGGCCCATACTCAGGAAAGTTACCAATTAATAGAAAGACAGACATTGGGCTTACTAGACAATCAATAATTTAGATCAACTGTTTTAAATCTGTTCAAAGGGTTAAAGGAAACCATATGGAGAGAACTGAAGGCAACCACGAGAAGAATATCTCACCAAATAGAGAGTATCCACAGAGATAGAAGTTTTTGTTTGTTTGTTTGTTTTGGGGTTTTTGTTTGTTTGTTTGTTTGTTTGTTTGTTTTAAGGAAGAGTGGAGGGAACCAAACTGAAATTCTGGAGTTAAAAAATAACAATAACTGAAACAAAAAAAATTCATTAGCAAGGCTAAACAGAAGATACAGGAAGTCAGAAAAAAAATTAATTAACTTGAAGGTAGATCAATTGAGACTGACTAGGTCTGAGGAACGGAAAGAAAAAAGAATGAAGAAAAATGAACAGAGGTTAAGAGTTTTATGGGACACCATCAAGAATATCAACATATACGTAATAGGAATCTCAAAAGAAGAGGAGAGAGAGAAAGGGACAGAAAGAATATTTAAAGAATTAATGGCTGCAAACTTCCCAAATTATGAAAAACATTAACTACATATCTAAAGAACCCAATTAACTCCAAGTAGGATAAATTCAAAGACATCCACACTGAGACATATTATAATAAAACTGTCAAAAGCCAAGACAGAGAGAATCTTCAAAGCAAGACTAAAGCTACTCATCACACTCTATTGATCCTCAATAAGATAAATAGCTGATTTCTCAACAGAAACAATGGAGACTAGAGGCAGTAAGATGATATATTCAAAGTGTTGACAGAAAGACAGAGGAAAAAATAGAATAAAATAAAATAAAATAACCTGTTAACCAATAATTCTTTATCTGGCAAAAGTATTCAAAATTGAAGAAGAAATTAAGATATTCCCAGATAAATCTGATAGCTTGTTAATAATATAGTTGGCCTATAAGAAATGCTGAAGAGAATTCTTCTGACTGAAATGAAAAGACACTAGACAGTAACTCAAATCCACACAAATAAATAAAAAACGCCTGGTAAAGGTCACTACATAAGTAAATATGAAAGTCACTATTAATGTAGTTTAGATTTATAATTCTTTTTTCCTATTTTATGTAAAATACAACTGCATTAAACAGTAATTATAAATCTATGTTGATGGGCACACAATGTATGAAAATGTAATTTGTAACAATAATAATATAAAGAGGGACAGAGCTATATAGAAGCAAAATGAGGGACTCCTTTGTTTTTGTTTTACTACTGAAACTAAGTTGATATTAATCTAAACAAGATTGTTATAAATTGAGGTATTAATTATAATCCCAGGGAAACCATTTAAAAAAAACTCCAAAACAGATTCAAAGGGGGTACATGCAACCTGGTGTTTATAGCAGCGATATCAACAATAGCCAACTATGGAAAGAGCCCAAGTGTCCACCAAATGATGAATGGATAAAGATGTAGTGTGTATATGTGCAATGGAATATTACTCAGCCATCAAAAAGAATGAAATCTTGCCATTTATAGCAATGGGAATGGAGCTAGATTGCATGATGCTAAGCGAAGTAAGGCAGTCAGGGATAGACAAATACCATAAGATTTCACTCATATGGGGAATTTAGGAAACAAAATAGATAAACATGTGGGAAGGGGGAAAAAAGAGAGAAGGAGAGAGGGGGAGGCAAACCATAAGAGGCTCTTAAAAATAGAGGACAAACTGAGGGTTGATGGAGGGAAGTGGGCAGGGAATGAGCTAAATGGGTGATGGGTATTAAGGACAGCACACATGTACAATGAGCACTGGGTATTGTATGTAAGTGAGTCAAAAAATTCTATTCCTGAAAAAAAAAAATAAAATAATTAAAAAATTTTAAACTCACAAATATATAGTAAAAGAAATGACAAGAAAATTAAAATAGCACACAATAAAATATTTAATATAAAAGAGAGTAGAAAAGGAGGAATTGAGGAATGAAAACTATATTAAGACACAGATAACAAATAGCAAAATGGCTGAAATAAGTCTTTCCTTATCAATAATTACAAATGGATTAACTCTCCAACTAAGACTAGCATTGGCAGAATGTATTCAAAAAAAAACATGGTCCAATCACAGACTGTCTACAAGAGATTCACTTCAGATTCAAAGATACAAATAACTTGAAAGTGAACAAATAGAAAAGATACTCCATGCTGAAAGTAATAAGAGAGAACTGGAGTGGTATACTAGTATTACACAAAACAGACTTAAAGAGAAAATTTGTTGTAAAAGACAAGGACAATATGCAATGATAAAATGATAAATCAAAAGATTAAAATAACATATATGTGTTTTTATTAAAAGCAGCCTTGGGACATCTGGATGGCTCAGTTAAGTGTCTGCCTTCAGCTCAGGTCATGATCCTGGGGTCCTGGGATCAAGTCCCACATCCAGACCCAGCTCAATGCGGAGCCTACCGCTTCCCTGACTTGTGTGCTCTCTCTCTCTATGACAAATATGTAAGTAAAATCTTTAAAAATAAAAAAATTAAAGCAGCCTCAGCCATATTTTCTCTGAAAAAATACATTGCAGAAAATGAACATTAGAAAGCAAAAGGACACAGGAATATTAAGTTGTGTAATCTATGTTCAGCTAACACGTCTAGTTCATGGTACCTTAGCTTAAAATGTGTTTTACTCATTCTTAATTTAATCACTATGGCTCGATAAAGAAAAAAACTTATTTGTAAAGCAAAGAGGATATAATTATTTTGCTTTAAATGTCTAGCTATTGAAAGAGTAACTACCTTACTATATTTTTCTCCAAGTCAATTTGGCTCTACTATTAACTGAAGTTTATCCTCCAAGGTTACTCTAAAATTATTATAAATACAAATTTTACATTTAAGAAAAAAATTAGAAAATATCTTTTTTCTCTATTTTGTTGTCTCCTATAAAAGTCTTTCAACTGATTTAATCTTTAAATTGAAGAACTGAAGCCTGTGGAACAGGAAAAAATAGCTCAATAAATATTTAGTTCCAAAAAAGCAACAGCGACCCATTTTATTATTTTTTCATATTCAACCATGAGTGAATGCTCACATTTATTCTTTTCCCCCCAATTTTTTTTAAACTTTTATATGTTCTGGGTGAAAAATACCTACCCATGACCCATTGCACCATTGGCTGGTTTTACTATAAAAGTTTTCTGCTTTCTTTTTTTCTTCAATTCTTTCATGTAGTTCTGGAATTGGGTATATTCAGCAGGGAAGATCCATGTTCGAGGAACAAAGGTATAATCCAGAGGCCGGGACTTAATCATTCTGTAAATTAGAGATAATAAAAGTAATTTCTATTCATACTTTTCTAAATTTTCTTTCTCTGTGCTACTGGCATTTATTGCAAGGATTTAAATTCCCACGATTTCTTCATTTACTGATTCATTCCATATATGTCTATAAAGCACCCACTATGTGCTAGGCATTATTCTGGACACTGGGGATACATCAATGAAAGAAAAGGACAAGATTCTCTGTCCTATGTACCAATTCATATATTGGTAGATCATTCAGTTATACACTATATGCTAGGCACTAGGGATATTAAGATAAATTAATATGGGATAGGGCACTAGGTATACACTATATGCTAGTTTACGCTATATGCTATAGTGTACTATATTCGAGTATACACTATATGCTAGGCACTAGGGATATTAAGATAAATTAATATTCTCTACCCTAAGGAATTTACAAATGGGCTATTAAATACAATGTGGTAAGTGCAATAAAGACATACATGGCAAGGTAATGAGGAAATAGTCATTAACTCTGCGCCTGGGATGAAAGGGTGGGTAGCAGGAAATAGTTCACCACCAGGTGCCGTTCATGTTGTGTCTTTGAAGATAACTTTGAGTCCTCTGAGGCACCCATAAGGAGCAGTTTTGATCATTTTTTCCTACACTATTTTTGAAGTTTAACTACTTTTCTAAAAAAAACCATGTGAACCTCTGAGTATACTTGAAATTTTGTTTCATTTTGTTTTAACATGAACTACATATGTCTCTACATGTGGTTTTATGGCTACAATGTATGTCCTGATATTTTTATATTTGCTACTAATCAGGCTCCCTATTTGATACATAATTTAAGGATAAAACTAGGTATAAAATGCTTACTTTTGATTAATCCCAATATTGACCATTTTGTACATATTGATTCCCAATAAAAATGAAGAAATTATAAGAAATATTTTCAAATATTATTTATTAAAGAAAATCTGATTATTTCCAAAAAAAGCTCCTTTTAATAAATGTAAGCAAGTCTCTTATAAATAAGGAGATACTGTTCCCAGATGAGACTGGTAAAATCTAAAATGAAACCACAGTACATGGAAAGCACGGAGGCCGGGCCGACATTCTGAAACTAGGGTGTGGCATATGGAAGCCACATGGCTTTCCACAGCTATAAGTTCCTATGGTTATCATATTTCAAGTGCTCTTTCAAGAAAACCCTATAAAAAAGTTATATTTCCACCATGAGAAGGGAAATAATTACCAACTCTTATCTGTGAAATCCACAATGGCTTTTTTTTTTTTAATTTATTTATTCGAGAGACAGAGAGCATGAGAGGGGAGGTCAGAGGGAGAAGCAGACTCCCCATGGAGCTGGGAGCCCGATGTGGGACTCGATCCCAAGACTCCGGGATCATGACCAGAGCCGAAGGCAGTTGCTTAACCAACTGAGCCACCCAGGCGCCCCTTATCTGTGAAATCCAGAATAAGCCAATAAACTAAAGAATCTCAATACAAAATAGGCTAACACTGACTGGTTTGGAAAACGCACATACACACATATACACAAAACTAAAGGAAACACAGGAACAGTGCTGATGTCCTTGTTTTTGTGTCCAATACCTTTAAATGTATTTATTATATTTTTAACAGTGATATGAAATTAGATCAATTTAAAGTTTTAATTAAAATAATATATTTTAAACTAACCACGCAGAGTATTTATGAATGATATCATTCTTTCACATACATACATACTTGGAAAAAACCCAAGCACACATACATTCAAGAGAAAACTTTATTCCATTTAGCAATCTAGCACAAATCATTTGGTGTAAAAATGTATAGCTTCAAAACAGACATGCAATCTTACTTAGGAATTTGGAAATATGGAATAATTTCTGCTCATAGTTGTCATGGACTTACTAAATGATATTAAGCATGTAATTTAATTAATTTGATTTTTATATAAGTAGGTCATTACTTTCCATTTAATAGAAGGTTCTTTTTTCCTTAAGGAAAATTCCAAGGATCTTAGAAAAATAAGAAATCACCTATGTGTAATAGGTACTAATAAATCTACAGTTAACCTTCTCGTTCTCTACAAAGCAGGTAGAATGATCTTTTCAAAATGCAAATTTGTCATTCTACCAGCTTCACCCCCACTCCTCCTCTCCTATGGAATTTAGGATAAGGACTATAATCCTAACCATTACCCTTCAGCTAATCTCTCCCATTCCCATCAATGTCTCTGTGCTCCAGCTACACTTGACTTTATTTCAGTATCCTGACTATTCTTGCTTTCTCCCACCATATGACCTCAGACCATACACTTTTTCCTGCCCAGAAAACTGTTCTCTATCATTTTCACCAATAAACTCTCAGCATTCATATTTAAGCTACCACATCACATCCATGGGGAAACTCTCCAATATCTCCCTCCGCCAGAAGTCCTTCACTATCCATTAATTGACTACTATGTAACTCTACTTCATTGCACTTATCACAGTTACAACCCAAAGCTGTAAAATCCACAAGTTTGATTTTGATCACCTGATGTGCCCAAAGGCCAGGACACTGCCCAGCGTATAATAGATATTTAATAAATGTTAGATGAAAGTAAATGACTTCAATGAAACACATGTCCAAAAATTTACAGAAGGAATTCCCTTTCCTCTGAAGTCTGTTCTTGCTATAATCCCTGTGTTAGTAAATTGCCCCCACCTACATGTTTCCTAAGCCAGAAGCCTAGCAGTCATCTCGGACACTGCTCTCCTCCTCCCCTTTGATTCGCACATCACAGCAGCTTTCCAGTCCTGTCAGTTCTTTCTTTTCCCTATTTTCCAGATGCATTTTCTCTCCACCATTCCCACTACCTCTCCTTTGGTTTATCAGATGTTGATGATCATCACCTCCTTCAGGGCTTCCTCCCTCCTTTCTCCCCCTTCTTTGAATCCATGATCTACAGGCCCACCAAGAGTATGGAAAATATATCATTTCTCTACTCAAAGCCATTAAAAAAGTTCTCATTTTTCTCAGGATAAACAGAAATGTCTGCTAAGTAGTTAAAGAGATTAAAGAATCAATGATGAAATGATTGAATAAAACAGAGTAACATGGTGAATGCAGCCTGGCCTTTGCATTTACCTGCAGCAGCATCACAAACTGAGCTTCCTGACACCCTATAAAACCACAGGAACTACTTAGAAGTTCCCCCAAACCTAACATGTTGGTTTAAGTTTCCATATAGTTCCTCCCACTGCCATCTTTGCCTACAGTCTCCTTGCCTTCTTCTCAAAGGGTGAACTCCTATACATTCTTCAATATCCATTTTGCATTTGAATTCCCCAGAAAACCACCCAAACCCTCCTGGAAATAACCTCTGTCATCATCTTTGTCACTGCCTTACACTGACTCTCCCCTGTGGTACCATCAAACTGTATTATATGTACATCACTCTTTCTCCCTTACTAAAATTTGAGTTCTAGGCAGGGACTAGGCCTTATTCATCTTGTTTGCCTGTTAGCAGTCTCTAGTCTATAACAGACACACAAAAAATATTTGTTGGGTGAGTGTATAAACTTTCACATGATGCATATAAATATTTAGTTATATATCAAGTTTCCTAACCTTTCTCTGTTTGAGTTTTCTTTTTTAAAAATTTTCTTAAATTATCACTCAACTTCCTTAAACTAAAAAAAAACCTAATCCACAGAAATATAAATTGCACAAAAATTCTGCAGTTCATTTGGTATAACGCTTGAGAACTTGTGAACAGTTTTTCCCATAACAGTAGAATTGTTACTCCAAATAGTGGTCTCAGAGATAAGTATATATATATTTATCTCAGAGACCTGGGTAGGGACATACACATATGCCTGTGTGTATGTGTGTGCACAAATGCACCTACTCTCATGTCTGGCACACATTAGATGCTCAATAAAACATAGATGCTCAATAAACATGGTTTGAACACACACACACACAGTGTATTATGTTGCTAAACTGCAGTGAAAAGAGTCTGAGATTCTGGAGCCCAGGATTCTGCTCTGGCTCCACGATTCACTGTTTGTTTTACTTGTGCAAGATACTCATTTCTCTGATTCTCAGTTACCTCCTCTACAAAATGAAGGAAGAACCAGGAAACTTCTAAGATCTGCTAGCTCTAAAATTCTATCTCTTCCATCAAAATACCATTTCAAATCAATGTAACCTGGTGAAAGATACACTATAACATTCAAAACAAACTTTGAAAAGGTCTTCTCTATTACAAGAAAATGAAGATTACTTGGTCATATTTCTTGCTAAGAAATCCTTTCTACAGATCTCCCCCATTCCTGGAAAATGGTTGATCCTCTGGAAAATAAAAAGGTAAACATTAATATTCCCATGGACTTAATGAATACATTCATTTATAGTACAATAAAGTTACACCCATCCTGAGTTTAATGTTCTTAAAAAACTGACTATTAATGTAAAATATTTAAAATGAAATGACTATAATGACTTTATAGAATTAAAGAATCTACAATAAGCAAAGAAGAAAATTGCAAATTTTTTTAAGAAATCAGAAAACCATGTTTACAGAGATATGGGTGTTACAATTTTCCGTGTTGAATAACTGGTCATTCAATGTCTATTTCTACTATTCTAAGTTTACTATATTCATACAGATAAGCATTGTAGAAATATTGGCAAGAATGGCCTTGTTAGTATCCTATAGCCAATTTTGTATTACACTCTATACTGACAAACTATACAAAATGTTGATTGTCTAAAATTCTGTGTATTTGGCTTTTTAGTTTGATTTCTACTTTTTAATATGTTTGTTTGACATTCTACAAATAAAAGAATGAAGCCCGCATGGCAGATATTACAAGGTAGTTCCACTTCCTGATTTCTCTGTGCAATTTTTCCACGTCACTCGTCTTTAAGAGTAATGCAAAGCACCTGTGTAGGAAGTGTTTTCTCCTATTAATTCTTCCTTAAAGATGGAAAGAGGTTAAAAGTTAGACTGGAAAGAACTCAGGCTTTTATGCAAAGAGTCAGGACTACTGGACAGCAACAAAACAGGCTATTTAGATAAGTTAGAAATGAAATTTAATATATCCACACATTAAGAATCCTATCTGAGTAAAATTATGATGGAATTCATAGAACTCTCCTAAAACCAATAACTGGTCATGATTAATCCCCACCTGGTAATTTTGCAGCTCTGCAATCTTCTCCTGCTGAACCGCAGAATCACACCATATAAGGTTACTTGTTTCATCCTCATCTGGAGTTTTCATAAATCCCATTTCATCTATCACTAAACGAACTGCAAGTAAATGATTAAGTTAAATGAAAATTAAAATACTACTGAAATATATTCATTGTGGAAACAGGTTTTATATATGTAAATTTTATCTCACAGTATTTCATTTGCAAAATATCCATTAGTTATAGCATTCCCTTATTTTTAGCTACAACAGTTTATCTAGGGCCAAATTATATTCACAGTAACTGAGAACTGTTTTTAGGTTGCACTCAAAATTCTCGGTTTCAACCGTCAGAGTTTCAGCAGGTACACAACTCTGCTAAAAAGTTCAGTGACTAATCATGGCACAGTGAAAACACATACACAGCTGAGACAACACCTCTACTCAGGAAAATGGACTTCATGGCTTTTTTTTGTGACCTTGGGCTAAAAGGGAAAAGGTAAAAATAGTTCCTGATCATTAGACCTATCCTATACTTTCCACCTCCCCAGTTCAAATTATTTTTAGCAATTAAAACCAAGTCAGTGTTGACTCAGGATATGAAATAATGAAGCAGAATTCACCGTAGAGATCTGGAAACTGGCCCTCCTATCTGCTCCTAACACCTTCATCTGACTGAAAAAATTTGTGCTCAGAGGAAAGCTTATTTTTCAGTACAAACTATTTATATGCTCCTCTCTGATCTAGATATCAAATTAACATACTAACACTTTTCTTCCAATGAATTTCAAGTTTAGAATAAAGATAAGCAAAATATTTAGGATAAATTTTGGATCCCAACAGAATTCTGAGTCTTAATAGAAAGGTGTAACTATATGGCAGCCCTTCGATGTTTCCTTTTTAAATGTTTTTCTTTACTGTACACCCTATGCATGAGGAGAAATGGTAAAGGGGGATCAGTTGTCTGAATTCACTTGGCTCAAGTACAAAACTGATGAGCAGACACTTGTCAGTCTCAAGTTCTAGAGACTCTTGATTGCTTTTTGGCTGAGGAGAAAGAAAAGATTTTTTATGCAATGGTTCCTAGACTACAGACATAAAAGAAGAGAACAGTGATTGGAGAGGGATGATGCTAGGGTGGGGAGGAATGCTGAATTGAAATCACCATTCTCCATGAAAGGCTCAGAAAAACTTGGGGCTGTTCTGAAGGTGCAGGTGACAATGTACAAAACAAGACTTGGGGGAAGGGCCATTGTCTTGTCTGCCCCCGACCACCACGCAACTTTGCTGACCTGAGGGCTCACAGGGAGGGCAAGGGCCGCAGCTACCCAGCCTGGGAGACTGCTTTAACTCACTCATAAGCAGTAAAAAAATAATGAGGCCAGAATAACTGCTCACAAGCAGACCTGTTCCTGAGTACAGGAGATACATTGTCTGGGGCTGTTCAGAGATAACTGAGAAGACCTTAGAGAGAGATGAAACTGGCGGCAGTTACAGAGGGAGGGAGTATAATGAGCTACTAAAATGTATGCATGAATGTACACATGATGAATGTACACATGAACCAGTGAGGCTGGGAACATTCAGGTTACAGAACAATAGTGGAAAAGATCCATTATTTCCTTAGATTCACAAACCAAATCTGTAAGGTCAATCATATATAAATCTCTTCTATTAAGAAATTCAAAGCTTGGAGAGCTGACAAAGTTGAACTTCAAAGAAAAACACAATGCTAGGTTATTATAAAGTCTCTTTTCTCAGGTAAGCCATTTAATCAAATTTTTATTTGAACTGAAATTTTTGGAATCTTTTAAGGATATCATCCTCCACTGCATGGAAAAGAAATCCCTTTAATGCATCAGCTCCAAATAGAAATTTGTTGACAGCTAAAGCCTACCTCCATGCCTTGAAATGCTGATATTTTAGGAGCTCTCTTTTAATAAGGGGGTAAAAAATAATTGTCTCTACACTGAATTTCTACCAGACCGAACACTCCATTGGTAAAACAGAGATAACCATATGAAACATTTCCTCAGATTTCCCTTTATATATTACATAACCCCCTCTCCAATCCTTCTTGTCCCCATTAAATAAAAATTACCAAAAATATACTCCTCATAATTTGTCCTATGATCTTTTCCCTTGATCCATAGAGCTTTCAGAGGCTGTTCAGGAGTTTTAAAAATAGGAATCCATGCAACTCTCTGAATCTTAGATATAGAAGATACATTTGTGTTTCTCAATTTAAATTTCAATTCACATTTTACTTAGGCAATATGATATAGTAAAAAGAAAACTGAATTTGGAAACAAATGAATTTAGGTTCAAGTTCCACTTTTGTCATCTGTGTGAACTTGGGTAAGTTGCTAACTCTCACTGGACTTGTTTATTCAACTTTCTATAGAGGATGTATAAAAAATAATGTGGAATTTCATAATGTAGTAATTATAGAACCAGTGAGAGAACGTACTTCATTACTCCATATGTCTTCATAAGAAACTAAAAGAGAAATTTCTCTCAAGACTCAGGAATACAGAAGTCATATATCCTTCGAATAACCAATGATTTTATCTTCTGGGTACTGTGCAGTCTATAACTGATTATGTTTTAATATTTGCTTTGGTTGCTAGGAAGCTCTGAGTCAAATCCATGTCCATCTCGAACTACAGAGAGTCTCGCGGTATGTATTTTGTACTCTTACCAGCCAGAAGATTCATCTTAGTTTTACTGTCTTTGTTTTCCCGTGTTTATCTTCTTAATGCTATTAGCCACTTCAAATTCACCTCACTATTATAGTGTAGAAAGGCAGGGGAAAGAGAGGAAGGGAGTAATGCAGCCTATTTTACAGGTTTATTTGGAAGATTAAATGAGGTAATGCATATGGAAATGTTTGGTCAATGGCTATAAAAATATTACTATTAAAACTATAGCAAAGTATTCTACATGAGGAAACAGGCAACACCAGGGCAAAAACACAGGTGTTCGGATTATGGCTTAAGTGTATTTCCATTATATAATTCGAAATGCCAAGATAGCAGTAATTAAATTATAAGAAGTAAGGTGTTGCATAAACTTGCTTAAATAAGGGAAAAAGCAAGGTAGCTTTCTTTCTCCTTGACACACGGCCAATTCCCTCTTTCCCTTCCCTATACTTAGCTCTGTATTCTCCAAACAGTCCCTGATCCAAGGACTGAGCCAGGAATTCTGTTAAACATCCGAGGACTGAGCCAGGAATTCTGTTAAACACCACAGCACAGCAAGGAGGTAGGACTCAGTATAAAGAAAACTGGTAGTGGGTATTAAGGAGGGCATGTATTGCATGGAGTACTGGGTGTTATACCTAAACAACGAATCTCGGAACACTACATCGAAAACTAATGATGTATTGTATGGTGACTCGCATAGCACAATAAAATAATTTTTTTTTTTAATTCTAAAAAAAGGATGCTAAGGCAACTTCAGCCCTGGGAAAACTTCCTGGGAAAGTGAGAGAGAACTGAATTGAAACACTCTTCTGTAGATCAAGGTTCCTTATGAACCCCACCAAAACCTTAAAGTAAATAATAGGATAACACCACCCATCAATCACTTTAACAATGGTCACTTACTCTTGTTTCTAGAAAACATGCTGCAAATAAACCTGAATCTTTCACATCTCACCCTCCCATGCTAACTTGCTTCAAGTCCCCGCCTCTGAGGACCACTTATTGGAACAGAGTATCGGGGCGCCTCAATTCCAATGAAATATTCCCACTGATCACTCAAGAACTTTGGTGAATTACTATAAATGAAAATGAGACTCTCAAAGATGGATAAGAGTAAGAATAATTAACATACTTTGATTTTCCTTAACTCTCTCAATGCAAAATGGCTAAGAGGAAGATTAGTTGAGTATCTCTGGTATTTGTTAAGAGTTCTGCAAGGCTGGGGGTGCCTGGGTGGCTCAGTAGTTAAGCATCTGCCTTTGGCTCAGGTGGTGATCCCAGGGTCCTGGGGTCCAGCCCCGCACCTAGTCCGGCATCCAGCCCCCTGCTCTGAGAGGACCTTGCTTCCCCCTCTCCTACTCCCCCTGCTCATATCCCCTCTCTTGCTGTGTCTCTCTCTGTCAAATAAATAAAATATAAAAAAAAAAAAAAAAGTTCTGCAATGCTGGGCAAGTGTATCATAATTTAAGACAACTATTCTTCTTATCTACTCTCTATACCACAGATACTGCTTATACATAAAAACTGGAACTTCATTAATAAAAAGCAACAGGATCATCAAAAGAATTTTTTTTTAAAACACAGAGAGAAATGTGTTGTTCCTCTATTCCTGAAGTCAGTCATTGTTTGATAAAAATCTCAAAGTTTGTAATTTTTAAATTTTACATCTAACATTTTAATCTGTGTAATGTTTACTTCATACTTGATTTAAAAATTAAGTATTAATCAAAATCACATATATAATACCATCTCATTAATAGCTAAAGCCTTTAGTTTACATTGATGTTCTTTTTGTTTATTAACATGTTAAATATCTCATAAAAAAGAACATTTTATAGAAGGCATTTAAAAATGAATTGCACAAACAGTATCTCCCTGAATTTCAACATTGTTTTCAACATCAAACCAATCTTTCCAACAGTGATGAAATCTCATGATTCTGAGGAGACCTACCAATTTCAAACTTTGTCCCAGCAACATTTGCTGTAATGGTTCCCTTCTTTTTCTTTTTTCTGACTTTCCTTTTCATTGTGCTTTGGTAAGGCAATTCTGTATTCAGATCCAGGGGAGAGGGTCCCTGAATAACTTTAAAAGAAATGTAAACCAATCAAGTATCACTAAAATAACAAAAATTTCATAGCAGAGAACACAGATGCCCCCCCCCACCAAAAAAAAAAAAAAGGTAAAACTAAAAATTCTGGTTCGTTAAGAGTCCTCAATTAATTTTTAATTCTTAGAAAAAATTCTCAGTGATGATCTATAATAATACAATCATGTCAATCTGCTTACCTCTTTCTTGAGGCAAAGATGGCATTATTGCCTGTGCCTGTTACAGTGTGTGCTGTTGTACCAAGCTCTCAGGATATCTGGGAGGCCTGCATTAGTCTAAGTAGGATATGGCTCCAGATCACTGAAAGTTCCTATCATATTATCTTGGTGGAATCCTCAGATTTCAGGACACTGAAGTTATGGGATGAGAAGTTACCTGTAGGGATTTTAAAACAAAGTCATTTAGAAAACAATTTTTATGAAATGTTTCTGTTCTTTTTAAAAGTCAAGTAAAGGTGAAAGTTAATGTACATATTCAATCAACAAATATTTGTTAACTCATTAAACCTTATGCAAAATGCCAAGTGATGGTTCCCTGTCCTAAAAAGTTCACAGAGTAGAAGAGAATTTTATTTAAGTCATATATTTACACACAATAAATAACATGCCATACACCAACAATAACAATAACCATATTCACTACCAACTATTGAACACTTGCTGTCATGGGTCACTTAAGCCACTTAATCTTTCAACAAAACTATGAGGTAGAACTTTTATCCCTGTCTTACAGTTAACTGACCTCGGAAAGGACAAATCTTTACCAAAAAAGTGACAAAATTAACATCTCTCCGATGTAAAAGTCAGTGCCCTTAATTGGGACTCCACACAACCTTCAACCCAATGTCTGAAACTTAGGTACAGCATTACTTTTCATATGAAACAGTGAAGTAAGTGCCAGGACAGAGATCACATAGCAAGAGAATACAGAAAAAAGGGATTTCTCATTAGGGAGGGGGGCAGTGGTTGGCAGGGAGGAAGGTGACGACTTTATAAAGTAGACCACATTTGAATTGTGGCTTAAAAAATGGAAACAATTTCGGAAAGGCAGAAAACGAGAGGAGTTGTTATTACAATGAGCTTATTTGATCACACAGAGGAATGCTGTAAACATTTTTTAATGAACAAATTTGATCTGGCTACACCTCAGCATGGCGTGTATGACACCTGTATTTTCACTGTGTACGTAGAACCCAGGTATTCATGCCCTGACTAGACTATACTGCTCAGTCTATACTATCAATTTCCTAATTTCTCCCTTCACAATGTAGGAATTGTTGAGTTCTTGGAAATGTCTCTAAACACAATGAAAAATTATAAAAGTTATCATGATAAACAAAGGTATGGTATCAATACATTTACCAGGAGATTATTAGGTTTATCAGAAATTCAACTACATAAAATGTGACTCATATACGTCACATCCAATAGTCATTATTAATAATAAGATTCATTATTTAAGAAAATTTAAATCTTAGTTTGTTCTCAAGCACCATTTTTAGTAGAATAATTACCTAGACTAATTAAATCTGAAAGCTAGGAAATATTTATTACAGACCAACTGTGGGTAGCACTGTTAGGAATCTAAAATATCTTACCTTATTAACAAACCTGGAATTTAGATACCATTTCTGCAATTTTCCAGATATGGAAATTAAGTCTAAATAAGTTAAATAAATCAAGATAACAATTTATAAATAGAAAACCTAGGCTTTGAGCCCCATTCTGTCCAATTGTTCATACTACTCACAAAGCCCCACTATTTTCAGACACTGTGCTAATATGCTATATAGATGTAAAAAAAATTTTTCACAACCCAATTGTATTACAAGCTGCAAGATATGGGCATATTGAGGGAAATCACAATACTTCAAACCAAACAGAGAAATCACAGTAAACACACCTAGCTTGATTTAAGCTCGCAATTCCAAGCTGGAAATGGACTGGATTACTTTTCAGAATAAAAGAAAGGAGTGATCTAAAATTCAGTGTGATTTCTTTCTGGAAGCTCTCTGATACCTCAGGGAGGTAACTATTTGGGTTTATAAGTCCTTGTCCAACATCTTGTTACTGGAGTAAACAAAGATCCTCTTATGGTAACAGAGTACGTATTACATTGAAAGTAGGTGACAAAGTCAACAAGAGTGTGAGACAATGTCTGCCTAACTATACTGACAATAAATTAGTAATTGTTACAGGCTCTAAAAACAGATTTGTTAATTTCTGACTTAAATAATGAGCCAAACACTCTGATTAGAACAAGCTCAGAACAAAACTGTTATCTCTTCCCCTACCACACAAGAATTTAAAGGCCTTAAATTTAGTCTCACCACATATGTGCCCTATTTAATTGCATTTATGTTTTGGTGAATAACAGTAAGAGTGCTTATCAAACTCAAGAATTTCATTCTACCGTCCAATTCTAATCATTTCACTTTATTCTTAGTGAGAGACGTGAGACAACAGACTGATCACACCACTCAAATGAGCCATGGTTACCTACTTTTCAGAAGCACACAGCATGGTTCAGTTACCTCCGAGATACTTTAGCTAAGGGTTTCTTAAGCTCGGTTGCAAAGTAGAATCACTTGAGGAACTTCTGAAAATCCTAGTAACCAAGCCATACCCCAGATCCCTGGTGGGGCCCAACTATCAGCATGTTTTAAGCTTTCCACATAACTATATCATGCAGCCAAGACTGACAACCTCTGCTCTAAGTATATAGTGACACTGAATCAAATAATAGTTAGTTATAACATACACATATCAAAAAAAAGTAAAACAAAGAAAAAAAAACTTTGAACCTATATAAAAAAAGGTCAAGTATTTAGGTAAAAATCATCCATTAAAATCCTCATTTCTAGTTGAAGTAAACAAACTGAGAGGAAAAAAAAAGAATTAGAAAATCAGCAGGAATTGGTTCCTCTTTTTTTAATTTTTTTTATTTTATTATTGTGTTATGTTAGTCACCATACAGTACATCATTAGTTTTTGATGTACTGTTCCATGATTAATTGTTCATGTATAACACCCAGTGCTCCATGCAATCCATGCCCTCCTTGATACTGATCACCAGGCTCACCCATTCCCACATTCTCGTCCCTTCTAAAACCCTCATTTAGTTTACCGGAGTCCAGAGTCTCTCACAGTTCATCTCTCATTCTGATTTCCCCCTTCATTTTCCCCTTCCTTCTCCTAATGTCCTCCATGCTATTCCTTATGTTCCACAAATAATTGAAACCATATGATAATTGACTTTCTCTGCTTGACTTAATTCACTTAGCATATTCCCCTCCATATTCCCCATCCATGTTGATGCAAAAGTTGGGTATTCATCATTTCTGATGCCTGGGTAATATTCCATTGTATATATGGACCACATCTTCTTTACCCATTCATCTGTCGAAGGGCATTTCAGCTCTTTTCACAGTTTGGCTATTGTGAACATTGCTGCTATGAACATTGGGGTGCAATGGCTCTTCTTTTCACTATATCTGTATCTTGGGGTAAATATCCAATAGTGCAATTACTGGGTCATCGGGTAGCTCTATTTTTAACTTTCTCAGGAACTTCCACACTGTTTTTCTATGTGGCTGCACCAACTTACATTCCCACTAACAGTGTAAGAGGGTTCCCTTTTCTCCACAACCTCTCCAACACTTGTTTCTTGCCTTGTCAATTTTTGCCATTCTAACTGGTATAAGGTGGTATCTCAATGTGGTTTTAATTTGAATTTCCCTAATGGCTAATGATGATATCTGCAAATGACACTACAAAGGGCTGATATCCAAGATCTATAAAGAACTTCTCAAACTCACCACCCAAAAAACAAATAATCAAGTCAAAAAATGGGCAGAAAACATGAACAGACACTTCTTAAAAGAAGACATACAAATGGCTAACAAACACAGAAACTGATTTCTAAGACAAATAAATATTTTTACTTTGCAAATAAAGAAGCCATTTCCAAAAGGAATCAATTTCCCAAAATGTTAAGCAAATGGAAACCTCAAATGTAGAAGCTCAAGTGTTACCATGAAAAACAATAGATACATAAGACTAAAACAAAAAAACTGTAACTCCAATGCATTTGTGTTGGAGTGCTCTTTCTTCCCAGTTCTTCACGTTGAATTACGACCACTTAAAATCCAGATAGATTTCCACTTTTCTCTTAAAGCTTCCTCTGATTATGTTTGAAGAAATTCATTTCTCCCACTTCCATTCTATCACAGAGGCCATCATATCACCAACCATGAATTAGGAAGGTAAACTCTGCAAAGACAAGGTGGTTTTCTTCTATCTTGTCGACCCTTCTGCTCCCAGAGCTTAGAATATTGCCTGACATAATGCTAAATAAGCACGTATTCATGTTACTGCCTGGGAGTAAATAGAGTTGGTCATGGAGTTCTGAGAAGCAAAAACATATCATTTACAAAGATTACTTTCACATTTTTAAGTGAAAAATCAAAGTATCTAAAAGTTTACATTTGGGTAAAATAACAGAAGAAAATGTGGAATATATGCACTGAGTAGTGGTGGTCTGCTGTGGCTGGGGGCAGAGCTAACAGACTTTCATGTACAACTTTTAGTATTCTGTGCATGTATTACCTATTTAAGAAGTAAAATATATGTGATAAAATTGTGTTACAACATTAACATGTTAATAACAAAACCCATCGAACTTTGTATTTCATTTATTTTCCTTAAAGATTTATTTATTTGAGAGAGCCCATGTGCACATGAGCTGGGGTAGGGGGAGCAGAGGGAGAGGGAGAGAAGCAGACTCCCCACTAAGCACAGGGCACTACATTCATTCTCACAGTGCAAAAGGAATAAATTGATTTTTCCCAGTGGTGGGTATTAAGGAGGGCACCTATTACATTCAGCACTAGGTGTGGTGCATAAACAATGAATCTTAGAACACTGAAAAAATAAAATTAAATTTAAAAAATAAAAATAAAATAAAATGCCAGCCAATGAAGATAGCATTGGTGGCATTTTTGAAACAACAAGATGAACACAAAACATCTTTTGTGTAAATTACACAAGAGAAACTCAGATCTTCCCAACAATCCCCAAAAATACATACCCTGGTGAATGCTATATAAAATGGGTTCTTCATACGTACTGGTGAAATTTTAGCTTACCATGGATTACTAAAACAATCTTCATTGAAGATCAGTGGAAACCAAAATTAGGTTAAGTTGAAAATACATAAAATAACATTAATAAAAATTTAATAAAAGTTGTTTTTATGGTGAGGGGAGGGAAGAAGAAAGAAATAGATATAAACCAGTACCTACTGTGTACTAAGTATTTTCACATAATTTTGTGTGTATTTACCTCACCCAGTAAATGCCCCAGTATGTTTTATTC